GTATCGGAGGAATATGATAATATCTGGGGAATTCTCAATATAAGAGTTAACTGAGTCATTTATAGAAATAAAAAAATTAATTAAATCAGTTATTTATAATAAATATGTATTGATTTTTTTAAAATACATTCTTGAAATATTATTGGCATTGGAAATTTTTCTTATTGACGAAAACAGCCCCTTCAATTAGGATTGTCTAGGAAAATAATTATAAATTTGCAACAAAAAAAAACAAACTAAGACCTGATATTTAAGATCATAATACATTTTTTAACTAACTCTTATATTTAGAATCAGAATGAGTAGTTTATTTGCATTCTTTTTTAACTTCTCATGTCTTCACTTTAAAAAATAATAATAAAAATAATGGATACGACAAAGTAAACAATTTTTTGAACTTAAGAACTTAAGAAATCAGTAACAATAATATTTTTTGAGTCCGAAAACATGAGAATGAGGATTAACCATGCTGCCATTCCTAAACCCTATTAAAAAGATCCAAACTCGAAAGGGGGCAACACTAGAGAAGAAAAAATAGAAGACAAGAGACAAGCAAGCAATATTGTAAGCCTAACACAATTTTCAAACAGAACACATGATCAATTTCACCATATCTCTCAGATTATTTTATGCGCATATTATTTGACTACTAATTAAGTTGGGTCTCATTTACCTGTAATTAATTTTCTCTTTTCCCTTGCAAACACGTAACTTTCAGCCTCCCTCATAGTTTCCCTCGTTCGTTGACCCCTTATCCTCTCAGAGCAAAACGTCATTGCATCAATGGCTCAATAATGAGGAGTTTGCTTAGCTAACCAGTTTGACATTATCATGCACCTGTCTTGTATATATATACATATGATTCCCAAATTAAAGTAATGTATATTTAAAAGCAGTATTTATGCTGGTGGAGGGGACCCTGAAAGCCATTCTTTTTCTAATCCCCTTGTTTGCATTCTCACAAAAGTCAAACAAAAAGGTAGTGAAGAATCACAAGGCATCCATCCATATGTTTATATTTTACTGTGTGTCCAATCACAAAACAAAGTGTGCCCCCTACATACCCAAATATATATCCGATCAGACCTTAGATTATGTTATCGTTTATCGCCTAAAGTCTTCTAAGCTTCATTGTTATTTCTAGTTGCCCCGAAAATGAAGCAAAAGAGAAGATTTTAAACAGGTTTCAGCGACTTTTAAAAGCTTTTGTTCCTACCCCACTGGATTATATCGGTTTTGTGTATGTAAAACGAATCTCCCGAAAATTCCGAGAGAAATTTAATATGTATGGTAATTATATTCAACAAGTTATGATTTTAATCTCATTGTCGTCGTATTGATCACTTGACTAATTAAACTGGTTTTCCTCATTCCAAGACGAGCTTATTACGATGTTTTGTGTCCAATTATTGAGAGAAAAAAGTTGGGTTCATATATTTATAGTGAGAATTGGGCAATTGAAGGGTTGGAAAAAAAGTCGGGTTTTTTGGTTGTGTTTAGTAGGGTTCTTTAAACATTTAGAGGGTGTTTGGATGAAAACCAAACTATAGTTTCAGAAATAATTTTATGGTCTACGAGGTAAATATGTAAAGGAGTTTATCTCGATTTGCGAAAAAAATGTTTCTGAGAAGTATTTTTCAAAGTATCTAAACACCCCCTTCGTTAGGGATTCGATCCCTAACGATATGTGTCAAAAGAGTCTCGTGGCCAATACTAAAGTTCTTTCAGAAAATCTACAATATGAGAGGATTAATTACTGCTGCTAATACTGGATAGCTAAGTTCAACAAAAAAAAGAAAAGGAAAGTAATAATTGAAAAGGGAGGATTGCCTTTTGGGAAGCCAAAGCCACAATGATGATTATGGAGAGATTACCTGATATTTGCTTTTCCACTGCGTCGATCTCTGAGAGCCCACCGTTTCCTATATACCAATTTTCATATTCCCATCACAAAACTTACTTGAGCGTAAACACAGATTGACTCACATATTCTATGGAGTAGTTTATTACAGTCTCGTTGGTTTTGCCGTACAGACAAAAAAAAAAAAAAAACAACGAAAGAAGCTGTTGTTGGTATGCTTTTAAAACTTTGATCTGATCTTTTAAAGCCACCACTGTCGTCTTTTCCCTCAGTTTAGGTGAACCGTTCTTAAAATAGCTCATCATCATGTTTATTCGTTCTCAAGTTTTTTAATAATAATATTATTATTATATAGTATAATATGATTTGATTTGATTTTTCTTTTTCTGATGCGTGAAAGCGAAGTATAACTGGAAAATATACCAATATAACACAAGGCAGGGCGTGAAACATGACAGGCAGCCATTTATACTGTTTACAGCACGCAAAAATAATAATAAAGAAAGAAGAAGAAAGTCTAAGAAAGCTGCATAATTTGAGTATCTCATTCATTAATTATCTGGGTTCCAGATCATTTAATAATTACTCCTTTCAATTCTCATGCTTGCGTTAGTTTTTTTTTTTTCCTTTCCAATCTTGTGGTTCAGTAACCAGATCCTGAGAATTATCCAAAATAAAAAAAAAAGGAAACAAAAGAGCCAAATCCTGAGAGTAAATCTAAATCTCTAGCTTAATGATGATTGAAATATGATTCCGTGAGTAATGATAATCGCACGTGAATGAGGCTGTAAAAAGTTAAACATAATACAAGCGCATCACATCAATTTTTTTTAAATATTTTCAATGGAATAATAAACGACAGAGAATGTGATCTGCAAATCATTCAAAGCCTTCATTATAGATTTGTGTGGAAAAAGGGTTAAGCTTAATTTACAAATCTAAAGTATTTTTTACATTATTCTAAAATATCATTTAACATTTGAAATGTTTTTTGACTACGTTCAGTACTTTAAATTATTTGACGGTTTAAGTGCACATTGCACTATAAAGTATTCTTTAGTATAATTTTATTTTTAAAATATTAAGATTTTGAATCTACTTGAAAAATATTTTAAAATGTTGAATAAATCATAAAATAGTTTAGAATGCTAAATAGACCTTGACAAAAAAATTATTATAGATCAGATTTATAGTTTATCTCAAGCACTTCTTATTATTGTATGATTTAATATTGTCAAAAGTGTACATCTGGTCTTTTTAATTTTATATAAAATTTTCTATTTTGTAATTTTAAAAAGTATCTTTTCAGTATTCAAATTCGTGCCAACACTATTTAGTTTAAAAATTAAATTTAACATCCTATTATTTAATAATATCTTGTCACTATTTAAAATTTTAATATCATTATTTTTTTAACTAACAGTATTAGAGTTAGAGGATAATTTTGCAATAAATATTTAACTAAAGTTGAGGTATTTCAGCCCAAGAAAAGTTGAGGTATAAAATGTCGGCTACATGGATTAGGGATGATAATATTTTGGGATATGCATTTAGAAGGGAGAGGGAGAGAGAATTATTAACATTATCTCTTAATAATAATAATAATAATAATAATAATAATAATAATAATAATAATAATATGTCAATAAGCGTGCGGGTGAGGGCGAGTTAAAGAAAAGGACCGTTGACTATAACTTTATTTGGTGGGCGTATATTTTCTTCAACAGGGTGTCTTCAATTTGATACATCGGAGATGAATTATTGATCATTTACATTTTTTTTATATAAAATCAGTTAATTAATCATCATAAATCATTAATAAAATATAAAAAATATTTCAAAAATCATAAGAAGCAAGGCTTATTTTAATTTTACAAGGGTCTTGCTCTAATTATTTTTAAATTTGCTTATCTACAAATAGATGTCATCAGTGATGTCTTTGTATTTTAGACTTTTGACAGCGTAATTAACTAATAATAAAAAGGCATGTAATTAATTTTTTTAAAATAATCAGTTGGAATCACAAACTATATAAATTGATTGCTAATTTTATTAACAATGAATTTTTTTAAAAAATTGGTAGTCGAATTTAATGAAAGAGTAAAATAAAATATATATTTTTTAGCTGATGAAAATAGGGCATGTGAGAGGTTTGGTCTTATTTTTAATAATGGAAAGACGGCTAAAATTTTTACACAAAATATTTATAAACATGAGAATGTTTTTAAGCCAAATACTATGAATAGATTAATTTAAATTCTACAATATTACAACAAAAGAATATGTCTTTCAACTTAAATTGGTATGACTATTACCAACAAAAAAAATCAAATAAAAATGGAAAAGAGGGAATAGAAGTAAAATTCTCCTATTGCCTTTCCTTTATTTTTTTTCTCAACTTGGCCCTTCCAAAAACTCCAACCGAATAAAATTTAAGAATTATCATTTAAAACCGACAATATTTATATTTTATAATTTCAAACATGCTTTGTAAAACTAAGATGTTAAACTAAAATATTGCATAAAGTTAAAAAAAATAAAATTATATATATTTTAAAAAATTAACTTAAAAATTGGAAATTTTTTTAAAAAATACTTTTAAAATTTTAAAATCATAAATCAGAAATAACTACAAAAAATGTATTATTGTTTACTTTTCAAATATTATTAATTATTATTAAAATGTAGTAAGTAACACTGATTTAGAATTTTAAAATGTTAAGATATTTTTTTTGAAATTCTTCCTAAAAAATTATTATTTAAAACTAGCAATATTATAATTAAAAGAAGAGTAGTTTATAAAAGTTAAAAAACTAAACTAAATCATTATCTAGAATGATGAATATCTGTCTTGGCTGTTTACTTTTCTAAGAGGAAGGGAAGAGAATGAGAATCCGTGCAAGTTAAGGTGGAGGCAGGTAAAAGGAGGATGGGGGATGGGCCCCACATCGGGGCAGGAAAGCCCCTCGACAACTCCATCATCTGCCCACGCACACGTGCACCCTTCTTTGTTCCTTTCTCTCTCCTTGCATCTCCAATCCCCAGCCTCGAGGGCACTTACGTCATATCCTACTATTTTAATTTTCCCATTACCACTTCTTCATTAACATAAATCTCAACCCCTCCCCCTCAAATGCCTCAAGTCTTCGCCGTGTTTGACCTCCACTCCTCCGTTCCCCCTACCAATACAGCGCCCCCTTCTTCCGCTGTTCTGATTCCCCCCCCCCCTCTCTCTCTCTCTCAATCCCTCAAATAGCTACTCTCTTCATTTTATAATCTATACATACACATACTCTTCACTTCGTTCTCATTCTTTCCCCCTACCAAATCCTCCTTCTCTGCTTCCTTGCTCTTCAATCTTCTTTCTCCTTTTCTGTTTCGATTTGTTTTCTGCTGTTTTCCCCATTTTGATCTCGCCAAGCAGACCAGAAACCCGCCGATATGAGACGCGTTAACGGGGATTATCGACCCGTTAACAATACTTTTGATACTATAAACGCTGCTGCCACTGCGATCGCCGCCGCCGATAATCGCCTTCCTCGGCCATCTGTCCAGGTTTAATCTCTTCTCTCTCTCTCTCTCTCTTGTTTTTTATTTCGTTCCGTACGAGGATGCTCAAAAGTTATGACTGATGATCATTTAGATGTTTATGACCTGTATGTTCTCTTGGTTTTCCTTTTTCTTTTTTTTGTTTTTGATTCTGGACGCGGTACCATTTGGTTGAGCACTTGAGCTCCCACTTTCCATCTCTTTTCCGAAAAGAGGCCTTTCTGTTTTCTTTTTCTTGATTTTTTCTTGGGGCTGAGGCGGGGGATGATAAAAGTACTTAACTTTACTTTTTCAAAAGAAAGCTAGTTCCTGAAAGATTAATAACTTACCTATGTGTGAGAATTCTCCTGCATCATCTCCTCTCTAGCTCCTCAAATGATAAAGCGTGTGGCATCAAACTCATCGGTTCTCACGCTGCTTTTGCTTTTATCTGCATCACTTACTTTTCGCTGATATTCATAAAGTGGACCGAGGACATAGATCTTTCTTTTTTTTTTTTAATTTTTTGGTTCGAGTTTTCCGAGTTTTTCTCTGGTGAAGACCGGAGACAGAGTCACTTGCTTGAGATTTTGCACCGTTTGCTCCGCGTTAGAGAACTACTGGGCTTTTATTGGACTTGAGGTTTTCTCGTTTTATAATATGGAATGATTTTATTAATTCACTGGATAATATAATAAGGTATAAGATATAGATTGTACATTTCTACGTCATCTTTCCTTATTATCCTGAAATTGCTGTATTTCGTTAGATGAAAGTTCGAACACATTTTGTTTTTAATGACAATGAGCATGTATATCCCACATATTCTGTATTTCTTCATCATTTACGATCTCGCTTGTGAATAATCTGAAGACGGCATACCAAATTTTTAATCACTGCAACTAGTAACTACCAAGTGGAGGAAGGAAACTGGTTGTATCTTTAGGAATCTCTAGGTTCCTTACCAGAATCAATTTCCAAAAAGGGGTGATTTTGATCAATGTGATTTTAGATACTGGATGTTGTGTGGCTAAATATTTTGAATATGATCTGAAGCTCCTGAGTCCATATTGTTTGTATCTATCTGTAATGGGTCAGGTCAAAAAAAAAAAATCTGTAATGGGTCAGGGAACATTCTCTGATGGTCTTTTCTAAATCAGTATTTGTTTCCTGCAGAAGAAAAGATGGGGAGGCTGCTTGGGCATATCTTTGTGTTTTGGATTTTCGAAAAACCGAAAGCGAATAGGGCATGCTGCCCTTGTTCCTGAAACAACACCTCCAGCTGCTGCTGGTAGCGGCGGCGGTGCTCCTGCAACTACAGCTGCAAACTCAACCCAAACAACCAGTGTAGCACTTCCCTTCATTGCACCTCCTTCATCTCCTGCATCTTTCCTTCAATCAGAACCTCCTTCCGCAATGCAGTCACCGGTTGGTACAGTATCATTCACTCCCGTATCTGCTAGTATGTACTCTCCAAGTGGCCCTGCCTCTATATTTGCAATTGGCCCTTATGCCCATGAAACCCAATTAGTTTCACCTCCTGTTTTCTCCACCTTTACCACTGAACCATCAACTGCTCCTTTGACTCCACCGCCTGAGTCTGTCCACTTGACTACACCTTCTTCGCCGGAGGTGCCATTCGCTCGGCTGCTTGACCCTAACCTCAGGAATGGTGAGACTTTCCAGAAGTTCCAAATATCTAACTATGACTTCCACTCTTATCAGCTTCATCCTGGTAGCCCAATTGGTCAGCTCATATCTCCAAGATCTGGCATCTCAGCTTCTGGCACCTCATCTCCTTTCCCTGATTCTGAATTAACTGCAGCTGGCAGGCATACCCTTGACTTCCAGACAGGAGACCCTTCCAAGCTTCTAAATTATGATAAATTTTCCACTTCTGAAAACCAGAGATCATATCAGGGTTCTGGATCTCTAACCCCAGATGCTGCAAAGTCCACAACTCAAGATAGTTCCCTTGCACATCATCAGGTTTCTGAGAAGAGAATGTCCCCAGGCATCCCAAATCGAAGCAGTAATCGTCTGAATGTAAACCATAGAGTCTCATTTGAATTAGCTGCTCAAGAATTATTGAGATGCTTCGAGAACAAACCAGTGGTATTAGCTAGAGCAGTACCGAAATCGAAAAATGATGCGGCAAGAGAAGAGAAAGATGAGAATTCAAGAGAAACTGGGAGTGATGACAAAATCCTTGTTGCTGAAACTGCTGATGATGCGCAGGGGAAAATCACAGGGAATGGAGACGAGGACGTGGTTAATCAGAATCCTCCATCCGTAACCCTTTCTTCTGCCAAGGAATTCAATTTTGACAATGCAGACGGAGGGGATTCTCATGCACCCAATTTAGTCGCAGATTGGTGGGCCAATGAGAAAGTTATGGGAAAGGAGGGAGAACCCTCCAAGAATTGGTCTTTCTTCCCAATGATTCAACCTGGTGTGAGCTAACCAACAAGAACACACACATTAAATCTGGCATAGTGTTTTAGTTTCGCTGCCTTGCTGCGTGGCCGCAGCCAACACCTACTAAGATGAATCATAGGCCACTAATTGCTTTTAGCTGGGAAGTCTAACACAAGAATGATGGGGCTCTTTTTTGAACATCGTGGCCCCTGAAGAGGTAAGATAGTTTCAGATGGATCATGTTAGTTCAGAGTTCTTTCCTAATCTGGGTTAGAAATGCTTATCCTTTCCACATTGTATTATAATGGACAGTGTGGCAGTGATTATAAATAATGAAAATCGATGATCATGATCATTTTGACTATGACGTGAACACGCAAATGTATGTATCTGGGTTTGGTTCTCTCTGCACCGATTTTGTGGCAGAGCTCTCAGTGATTGGGTGGATTTGATCAACGTTCATGAAGCTTTGCCATTCAGCTGGGGGCGGCAACTAAATCAAGCTCAAAGATTTCGCATTAAACATACTATTACTCTATTATAAGTGGTTATTATAGTATGCCCGCCTGATCCATCAAGCATTGGATTTCCTTGGCGCCGAAAATAGTCCAACGGGGCCGACTTCCTGTATAGAAATGGTGGTTTGTGCCTTCATGGTTGTACCCCTCTGCCTCGAGGTACAGAGTCCCACGTGTTGATTTCTGCCCTCGTGCTGCTTCAGTCTTTCAGATTAATTAATGAATGTTCAATCTGCTATGCTATCTATATGAGTATGAGCTGTACGTTTTGCCGATTCGGGATTTGGAGAGGGTGCAGAGGAGAATCACCTTCTTCTTAAAAACTTCTTCTTCTTCTTCTTCTTCTTTAAATTGGAGAAACTACTGAGTGAAGTACACACACACTGTATATATATGGGATTTTCTTTTTGGAGGGTGAGACGATGAATTTTGAAACGTAATGTTTTCTAAAGAAAAATGTGCTGTTAAAAAATGGGTGAACTTTTGTAATCGTATGAGATCGATTTATTCTGTTTTCTGTGGACGCTTAGGTCGATTTTATCTACGCGTACATGCTTCATCGGAAATTAATGAAAATGAAAGAGTTAGAAACTGCTGATCACTGTGCACTGTTGTTACTATTTCTAAAAAATGATGAATTAAAAGTGCATGTAGCAGTTTGAAGTATTTTTTAAGATGCATTAAATACTTTGAAGTATTTTGTAATACTTGTAACATCTCAAAGTTTTTTTAGGTACATTTAGCACTCTAAGGATTTTTTTGTTCTGGATACACAAAAAAAATATTTTTAAATACTGGATATATCAAAAAATATTTTAAGATATTAGACACATTTTAAAAAAATGTTTTAAAATATTAGATGTACTATAAAATATTTTAATATGCTAAATATGTACACACAAAAGCACCTTAAAATATTTTGAAGTGTTTGTGCATGTTAACCCAAAAATTATTCAACTTGTCTAACCTTGAGACACCCATAATTATGAGGCAAAGTTGCGCTTAAAATAAATCACACGAGCATTTTACTTTTATCGAGTATATACTCCCATGTGACGGGATGTATTGGAGAACACCGAACCCCAGATTATTCAAATTGCGTAGCTTCGAGACAACCCTAATCGTCAATACTCCGCAGTCAGCCAGATTTTACCCAGAAAAGAATTTGGTCCCACCTGGAGGGCTAACTCAAATTCAGTCAGACGAGACCACCGAGATTTTGATTTTTTAATATCCAACTCGAGGGCGACGCCAGCCAATGCCTTCCCTTGTGTAGAGATTCATTTAGAGCCGGGAATCAGGGCTGGCCCGGCCCTTCAGGGCTGGCCCTTCAGGGTTGGCGGGCTTAAAAGGGCCGGCCCTCCAGGGCTGAAATTTTAAAAATACCCCAATTTGTTAAGCCCGGCCCTTAAGCTACAGGGCCAGGGCCGGCCCGCGGGCTTTTGGCCCGTTTAAGGAAAAATACTATTTTTTTATATTTATCAAATTTTTTATAAAAATATAAAAATAAACCAATGAAATTATTAATAAAAGACATAAATATGAATAAAATTAAGTCACAAATATAAAATATCATCATATATAAATATTCATCAACATTTAAGAACATCTAAAACATTCATTAACAAGATAACAACATCTAAAAGTTTTATCTATAATGCAATTGTGCAATAAATAAACACTGTCATTAATCTTTTGAAACTTCATCATCACTATAATTAATTACTTTTCTTCATAAGTATGCTTTTCTTTCGTAACAAAAATATCAAGTTTTTCTTCTTTATAAGAATTTTATTTTTGAATTTTGCAATCTAACTATTATTTTACTTTAATGTGAGAAACATTGTTGTTGAAACTCATGAATTTCTAATTCAAATTATAGAATCACAAGTTATATAAGTATAAAAATATTCTATTATCAAATATATATAGTTTAAAAATATCAACGCATATAATATAAATCAAATCATTATTAAAGTCCAAATTAACCGATTTTTTAAAAATTTAATTAGATAAATTATTGTCTAAAACTAAATTTAATTTTAAAATGATAATAATAACTAAATATTTGAAATATTATTAACAATGTAAAAAATTAATAACATTAATATTATATAAAAAAATTTAAAAATAAAAAAAATTATAAAAGGGCTTAAAAGGGCCGGCCCGCGGCCCTTCAGGGCCAGCCTTCCAGGGCTTGTTTCTCATTTTAAAAGAAAAATATCAAGTCCGACCCTCATAATTTCAGGACCTAAACAGGCCGGCCCGATGTTCTCGGCCCGTTTTCCCGGCTCTAGATTCATTACCCCCAGAACTTATTCGTCGTCAAAGTACTTTAGCCGCTTGCTATCCAAGGGAGCTTTGCATCTTCGTCTCTGAGTATCTCCAATCTCTTTAGATTCCGAAGATAAAGGGATTGGAAGAGCGTCTTGCACTTGCTGCTCTGCGAATATGCCGCCTTCTTCAGTTTCTAATTTCGATGAAGGTCCTCTTCCTAAATCTGACTCCAACATAGTCACCATTAATGTAGGTGGCCAATTCTTCCAAACCACAAAGCAGACTCTCAATTCTGCTGGCCCCAAGTCCTTGTTCGCCAAAATCGCCGAATTTCAATCCTCTGACCCCTTCATCGACAGAGATCCTGAGTTGTTCGCCGTCCTCCTTTCCCTTCTCCGAACAGGTAATCTTCCTTCCAAAGCCAAGGCATACGATCTTCAAGATCTGATTTCTGAGTCTCAATTTTACGGCATCGAGCACACACTCAGGAACACCCTATCCGGCCCTTCTCAATTCGAGCCCTTCAACCTCCAGAAATCGATTATTTTACCTCTTAATGGACGAGATACCCCTCCGCCATCGCCGCCTCAAGGTTCGGCTCAGTTCATGTGGCGCATGGCAGTAAGATAACATCCTTTGATTGGTCCCTTCGTCGCAAGTCCACTTTTTTGACTCAATTCATGGCCGTCGATTCTCTATTAACCGTCTCCGATTCAGTGGTAGCTGCTGGAGCCCATGACTACTCGGGGTTGCAAATTATTGATTTGAAAAGGAAAGTAATCCAAACGGCCTTAGACTGGGAGAACGTGACCAGGTCTGGTTCAACAGTCCTAGCGATTGGATCTTCGCCGGAGCACCTATTTGCGAGTTTCGAATCAGGTCGACGCAATTCAAATGCTATAGTGGTATATGATTTAAATACTTTTAGCCCGGTTACAGAAATTGCTCACAATGAGATTTTTGGTGCCGATATCGATTCCGCGATCCCAGCAACGAAACTGAAATGGGCGTCGGGTTACAACTTGCTCATGGCATCTGGGTCCCATAGTGGTCCTTCCGGTGTATCTGGCAACATAAGATTATGGGATGTGAGGTCAGGGAGTGTTGTTTGGGAGATGAACGAGAAGATAGATTGTTTTGCCGACGTGACAGTTTCAGATAACTTGTCAGTAATCTTCAAGGTTGGGGTACATTCTGGGGAGGCATTTTTCGTGGATATGCGTAATTTGAGTTCTGGGAATTCCTGGGTTTGTCTTGGTGACAATAAAAAAGTGTTAAATGGGAAGAAGGAAGGCATAGGATGCAAGGTTGAAGATCAAGGGAATCAGGTTTTCTGCAGCAAGGGAGGAGACATAGAAATGTGGTCAGAGGTTATAATGGGCTCTGCAAAGAAAGGGGAGGATAAGTTAGTTAATAGGATATTCAAGAAGAACTTGATGGGCAGAGTGAAAGACACTGGCGGTTCTAAGATCACTAATTTGGCCTTTGGAGGGAATAAGATGTTCTTGACGAGGAAGGATCAGCAATTTGTCGAGGTTTGGCAGAGTTCTACTGTGGAACTTTAATCTACTAGTGATAGGATTAATGGGTTAGCCTGTCGTAGTGTAAATATCGTTTCCTTTAGATGTCGCCCTGTATATATGTGTGCTTTTTCACCCTAGGTCCTTAAATACAGCCTTCTCTGAGTTATGAAATTGAATTGATTCATCTCAATCTTATTGTTGAAAATTGCATTCTCTTCAAAACTCTGCTTTTTTTTTTTTTCCCGTTTCAATTGAGATTATTTAGTTACCAATCAAAAAATAATAATTTAGTTTACGAAGACTAGGAGGAAGTTTCACCTCTTAAAACAAGTGTTTTAAAGTTCAATTCTAGTTTACGTACAAGAACAAATCTAATTATGAGTTTATCTTTTGCACTCAAATTTCTAAGGTCCATGGAGAGTATTTTTGGTGGGCAAAAAAGCAAAACATCAGCCAAAGTGTCCTCTTATAAGTGGAGTCATAGATGGAAAGCAGAAGATAAGAATTTTGCCGTGAAAAAACAAGGGAATGTTTAAAAGTTTACTTGGTACGTTGTTTTTTTTTTTTTTTGGCCTGAGTTTACTTGGTACGTTGTAGTGAATGATAGTGGGTTTTGGGGGGCCGCATTAACCAGATGTCGCGCCTTAGATGTCGCCCTGTGTATATGTGTGCGTCTTCACCCAGTTACTTAATTAGAGCCTTTTCTGGGCTATGAAATTGATTCATCTTAATCTTATTGTTGAAAATTGCATTCTTTTCAAAATCACCCCCCCCCCAACAAATTGAGGTAACTCGGTTACCAATCAAAACATAATAACTAGTTTACCATGTTAACAAGACTAGTAGGAACTTTCATTCATTAAACAAGTTCAATTATGGTTTTTGCACATGAGCAAATCTCCTTATGAGTTTATCTTTTAATTTCAAATTTCTAAGAGCGATGGAGAATATTTTTGGTGGGCCAAAAAAAAAAAAAGGATTTCTATTTTGTGGGAGCAAACATTGGCCGAAGTGTCCTCTTACAAGTGAAGTGATAGGGGGAAAGCAGAGGATGAGAATTCTGCCGTGGAAAAAAAGGGGAATGTTCAAAAGTTTATGCCCCGTTTGGTAGCATGGAATTGGGAGGGAGGGAAGTGGAATCCAAATTTAAGATGTTTGGTATGCTGGAAGCCACTTCCATGGAACTCCCACTTCCATCAAAATCGGTGGAACTCACTTCCTTAGTCCCCCACCAGGAACCCAGTTCCACTTCTCATGGAACTGGCTCTGTGACTATTTTGCCCCCATCCCCACGCTTCCCACTGTTCAACACCCGCGAGCATGATGGCAGACGGCGATGATTTCGGTGAGCACGATGATGGACGGCGTCGACGCCATTGACCACTCGGTAGACGGCCTCTTCTTAGCCGAGGCTCACAGATTCCTCAAAGCCTCCAGCGATGCTCCTACAAGCATGAGATCTGGAGCATAGAGGACGGCGGTAGAGGAGTGGTGCGGATTTCATCTCTACTCTTTTCCTCCATGGCTGCTTATTCTCCAGATCTCATCTTCTCCCTTCGACCTTGTCTTCTTCCTTCCACTTTCTTTGATTTTCCATTTGTAATGACTGAAGCTTGCGAATCTTAGAACAAAGCTTACAATGCAAATGTTGAAACTCATGAATCTCCCCAAACAAGAACCTTGTACAGATTTGCTTGCTTTGAGAAGTTTTTTGGTCTTGACTTTGGAGCACGATTTTGGTCTTTTCGGGGGTTAATCTCCAGTACTTCAATTCTACCATTTTCATTGATTTCCTTTCTCAAGACTAGAATATTGTTGTCTTTTAATCATTCAATCGTGTAATTTGTGATTCATAGTCAATGTTTCTTTTTTACTGGATCTGTTTATGGTGATCATTGGTTTTTTCAACTGCGCTGATAGTTCTTGGTGGATGGTTGCATCTGGTGTGGAGAGGATTTTTGAACAGTGGAGTTCTTCTCTCTGCTGAAGGGTATTTTGGTATTTTCACATTACAATAATGTATTTTAATTAAAATTTATATCCCACTTCCATGGTTACACCAAACATGTTTTAAAACTCATTTTCTCTCCACTTCCATTTTTATTTCCACTTCCACTTTCACTTCCACTTCCATCAAAAACTCTTCCATCATACCAAACGGGGCATTAGGTTGTGGTGAATGGCAGATGCTTTTGGGGCCGCGTTAACCAGGTGAGTGACGTGGCTTCCAAGAATATAATTGGGAGACAGCCACACATGCAAAAGCCCCTTATCCTGATGGAGAGACCTTGTCCTTCATTAGGGTTGGCCACCATCAAAGTGAACAGATAAGCGTACATACAAGTAACGATGCAAATGCAGCTGATTGATATATAAATGTCCAGGAGTGAACCCTACCTGGCTCCCCCTTTCAGATGTTATGTCTTCCTCACTCTACTTTCCCACTGAATGCAAACCTAGCCACACTTAAAAATGGCCTGCCCTGTTGCAACTCCTAATCATCCTCATACTGTCCTCACTAGCTGACGTCTTCTGGTAGCTGCTATACCTAGTTCAAACAGTAAGTTCTATTATTCATGATTCAGAATTTGAACTTTTATAAGTTTTCTAAATACATGGAAATGAGAGGTACGTGGCCTATATTTACCTTCGTTATGTAAGGACTCAGATTGTGCTACGTTTTGATTGTGACCTATAGAGGAGGAGGGGAAATGTTAACCGTTGCTTATCCTTTCTTATGCAATTTTGATTGCGTGACGTATTCAATCTATTTTCATACTAAGGGAAGAATTATTCTCAGAACTCAAACAGACAACAAGCAAAAATGGCTGCCAAAACCTAACATCGCATGTTAGATAGTTCACAATATTAATTAGAACAAGCCCCATGAACTACATGATGGGTTTATCTTTCTAGGACTTAAGAAGAAGAAAATATCGTGTCTTTAGTCAATTAAATAGTTGTAGCCTGGTACGGATTCTTTTTTCTTCTATATGTGGACTTTTTCAATTTATTTAAACTTTGCCATTATTTTTAGGGTGCAATATAACAATGAAACGTCGCATCTGTTAGCTGCACAGCATGTGCGGAGCTTGATGAAAAAATGCCAACAATTACAAGTCCAAGCACCAGTCGCATTGATTGAACCAAAAAAATTGTTGTGTTTGAGAAAATGATCTTCAGCTGGATCGCAGCAAACGAACAAGGACACGAAATATAGGTACAATAATGAAAACCTCACTTGCCCCATAATTAATAATTAGCTAAATAGTGACATTTCACTGAATTTATCAAACAACTTGGTGGTTTCTTCTCTCCTACTTCCTAGTTAGCTAGCACCATAACATGTCATTAAGTTGCATCAATATATTAATTAATTGATTCAATTAATAAAAGCAATATATGTGGACGAGTAGCAATAGTTGGTACATCCGGTAATTCTCGTACAGAAACAAATATAGATGATGCAACGAGGTGATTCAAAACGTCAAGCCTTACCCGGTTGTCTCTCTTTTTTTCTTTTTTCCACCTGAATTACCCAGTTACCTCAAAATGTCACAATTAGGATTAACAAAAGTTGGTTCAGCTGGTAAGAAATTAGCTCATAACCTACAAAGTCATGAATTTATTCATAAGCGTTATCTGAGTTTGGAGATATATCCTGATTCTAATAAACTCTCGAAACTCAACTCACTTAAATTTTTTGTTATGGAAAAAAATGCGACAATTGGGAAGTTTGAAAATAGGACCCGACCAGTTTGTTCTTTTAATTGCAATTATCTCCTTTGGTTCAATGAAGCTGCTCCCTCTTTTTGAAACCAGAGCCCAGAGGCCACTTTCTTTGTTTCACATTACACTTGTCAGATGGCTATAGCAAAAGAACCAATCTCCAGTTATTCCCTTTTCCTCTCAAATGCGACTCAGGAAATCAAATCAAAACAAGCGACCCACTCGAAACGGCCATTCATTTCTTTTCAGAAACAAGTGATGATTTCTAGATGGAACAAGCATGAATTTAAAGGCTGTTTAGATGGAAATTAAATTATAATTTTAAAAGTGTTTTTATAATTTACAAAGTAAATATGTAGAGGAGTTTGTCTTGTTTAGAAAAACTTTTGAACATTTCCAAACACTGATTAACTTTTCAAAAATGATTTTATGAAATTCAAAGTAATTATGTAAAAAAATTTTTGTCAAAGACCTATATAAAAACACTTTTTTTAAAGTGTTACTGGGAATTGCCAAATGATACGAGATCATTGTGGGGTATTTTAGCTGGCTGGGTACACAATGCGCGTTCTACTTCACCCCAAACACATCAGTCACTATTTGTTCTAGCTATTGGCTTTTCCTTTCCTTTCTTTTTTTTTTTTTTGACCGACTTTGCTTCAATAATTCTCCCTCCTGTGTCAGTTCTGTGCACCTCCCGTAAGGGTACACTTCAGTAGTTATCAATGCGACCGCCGGGTCATTTCTGTATGACTTTAGATTAAAGTGAAAAGCGCAATAATTTACTTAAAGACAGCAAAGCCAAAAATGACTGAAAAATACTTCAAGTTGGACGAATGAGAATTAGGCTCTGACATCGGCGTGCTGCATAAGTGCTTGTTCTGTCCAATTAATGTTGTTGTGCGTGGGTATATATCTCTGGTAAAGATACTCCTCCGATCCTAAATGTAAGACCCTTATACTATAAGGGTGTTACATTTAGGGCAGGAGGAATACAATGACAAGTGCTGATGTGTGGGTGGCAGTGATTAATATAGGAGGGCGAAGGACAAAACGACGCCGCCAAAGCTGGTACTCCAAGGCCAAAAGCAAAATAATTGTGGATCCATGGGTGGGGGTCACTAAATTTCAGGTCAAATCAGGGGAGGCACCGAGTCTTTAATACGAGACGGAAAAGAAAGGAGCAAACAAAACTATTGACTTGGCCATGGCTAGCTTCGTGGGCACGTATTATTCTCATAACATAACGAGTAATACGCTTGTCATCCTTACGCAAAAACAATCTCATTTACACCTACTTTCCTTCAACTAATCTTGCGTCTTCATTGATTGCAGAAGAACCATAGTGTGGATTTGGAGCTGCAATTTTTTCACTTCCTGGTTGAGTTTGAATTTCGTTTTCCCACAGATTCAAAATAATTTCTTTGAATTAAATATTGCATGTGCTGCATCATTAACTGCTGGGTTTTTTTTTTTTTCTTTTGCTTTTCTTCAAGCCGTAAGAAACATCACACTGGGTCTGCTTGATGGAGGATTTCGTTCCGCCTTAATACACCCCCAACGACCTTGGTGGGCATTAATGAATAATGCCTTTAATTGGCTGTGCTGATCCAAATAAAGAAAAGAAAATGAGAGACTTTCAACTAGTAATTCATACTCCTTATTAAACGTCCCTCTCCCTGTTCCCATGTCCTTCTATAAATCACTGACCTTTTCTCTCACTCACAGGTCACACGCCCTCCTCTTTTTCTCATAGTACTATAGCCACATCTTCCTCTTCTTCTTCTCCACCTCATTCCCTTTTATCCTTCGTCTTCCTTCTCCCTCTCATACACATTTTCTTCTCAAACCCTTTGCTCTGTTTCTTGCGTTGAATACAGGGGAGGGTGGTATTATTGCGGGTGATTCTTGCGTCGGATCACATGGATGCGTCCACAGCTTTAATGATCCTATCCGCCGTAGCTGCTTATTTATTATGGTTCAGATTCTTATCCAGATCCCTGAATGGTCCACGTGTTTGGCCTCTATTGGGGAGCCTTCCCGGCCTCATCCAGCACACCAATCGCATGCATGAGTGGATCGCAGACAATCTCCGCGCCTGTGGCGGAACTTACCAGACCTGTATCTGCGCTTTTCCCTTCATCGCCAGGAAGCAGGGCCTCGTGACCGTCACGTCTGATCCCAGGAACGTGGAGCACATCCTCAAGCTCCGCTTCGATAATTATCCTAAAGGACCGACTTGGCAATCTGTGTTTCACGATTTGCTCGGCGATGGCATCTTCAATTCCGACGGCGACACATGGCTGTTCCAGCGCAAGACCGCCGCTCTGGAATTCACCACTAGAACTCTGCGCCAGGCCATGGCGCGCTGGGTGAGCCGAGCCATTAAGTACCGGTTTTGCCCCATCCTCGACACGGCGCAGCAGAACCAGAAGCCGGTCGATCTTCAAGACCTTTTGCTTCGCATGACTTTCGATAACATTTGTGGCTTGGCTTTCGGCAAGGATCCGCAAACTCTCTCTCCCGGTCTTCCTGAGAACGGCTTCGCCCTGGCCTTTGACCGAGCCACGGAAGCCACCCTGAAGCGCTTTATTTTGCCGGAGGCGATCTGGAAATCCAAGAAGTGGCTCCGGCTAGGTATGGAAGTGACCATGGCCCAAAGCCTCAAACACATTGATCAGTACTTGTCCGGAATCATCAACACGAGGAAGCTCGAGTTAACAAGTAAGCAGAATGGTGAGAATGGGACCACCGTCCCTCACGACGACCTGCTCTCGAGGTTCATGAAGAAGAAGGAATCCTACTCGGACCAATTCCTGCAACACGTGGCCCTCAACTTCATCCTCGCCGGCAGAGACACGTCATCCGTCGCGCTGAGCTGGTTCTTCTGGCTGTGCACCCAGAACCCAAAAGTGGAAGAGAAGATCCTCGTGGAACTCTGCACCGTCCTGATGGAGACTCGTGGCAGTGACGTGTCGAAATGGATGGACGACCCGCTCGTGTTCGAGGAGGTTGACCGATTGGTGTACCTGAAAGCAGCGCTGTCGGAGACGCTTAGACTCTACCCATCGGTACCGGAGGACTCAAAGCAAGCGGTTAAAGACGACGTATTGCCGAGCGGTACCTTCGTTCCGGCAGGTTCGTCCGTGACATACTCCATCTATTCAATTGGAAGGATGAAATCCATATGGGGAGAGGACTGCCTGGAGTTTAAGCCGGAGAGGTGGTTATCCGCCGATGGGAAGAAGATCGAGCTAAACGACTCGTACAAGTTTGTCGCATTTAATGCTGGCCCAAGAATTTGTTTGGGGAAAGACCTGGCATACCTGCAAATGAAGTCTATCGCAGCGTCTGTGCTGTTGCGCCACCGCCTCTCCGTGGCGCCGGGACACCGCGTGGAGCAGAAGATGTCGCTGACGTTGTTCATGAAGTACGGGCTGAAGGTGAACGTACACCCAAGAGAGTTAGGACCTATACTGGACAAAGCATGCAAGGACGCCGCCTCCTGCGGCAGAGAAGCATTCATGACGGCCGGTAACGGCGCGGACGTCGGAATTGAGGCGCTGCCTCCCGCTGCTTGAAGAGTGTTTTGGCATCATGTGGCTGTGAAGTAATGAACAAATACGTATATTTATACATATAATTAATTAGGCTTAAGAACAGGGTGCATACTACTCATGCATACTAAAATATTTTATTAAGTAATTAATTGTGCTGATTAATTATATTATACTTAATTTGAAAAGTACGTGGTTTTGTAATCCATGCCAATAAATACACGCACGCACGCGCACGCACACATATATATCCTTGATCCTGATTTGGGTCTCTGGAATCAGTAGGCCAGCGGTTTTGTTATGAATTATGATCACTCTAATCTCTTGCTCTCACTCCATGAAAGAAAGAAAATAAATAAATAGCATGCTTGCATATGTATATATACACATATACGTGTGTGTATGCACACACTTATAAAATATCCTATAAACGAGGTCTTATAATTAAGACAAAAAATAATATTCCTCTGGTCTTTAATATAAGACTCAATTATTAGTTGGTTTTTGTTCTAAATATAAGACCTATTTCTTATATTTATTTATTTTCTCTAAATTACCCGTATAGATATTTCAACTATAATCAAGTAAAAAAAGGAGATAATGTATTAAGAAAGATGATTATAGTGTTTTAAGAAACATGTTTACATTTTTTATAATTAATTAACTTACCTAATTTTCTTAATCTAATCAAATTAGTTAAATATGTCTTATATTAAAAATCAGAGGAGTTTTAATCAGAATATCTGTATAAAGTAAGTGAACTTTACATTTTTCAACGTGCTTCTTACTATGTTGGTTCTTGTTTTCTGACTGCTTAATGTGGCTGGAGTGTGTACGTTTAATTTACAATTTCAGTTCCAATGAAACTGCTTTTTGGTAACTTGTGATAATTGAATCAAGTCGAGGATCAATATTGTGCTGCTTAATATAAAATCTACATTGATTAATTTAAATATATTAAGAAAATTAATTAAATAAGCTATTTGTTAAAAATATACTACATCTGATTCTAATTATAAAACCTTATTTATAAACAACAAATAAGATCTTGGATCAGAGATGGTATACCAGCCTTCTTAAAATATCTTCTAAAATCATTTGCATTGAAACTATGCAAACTTTAGATATAATTTTTAAAAAATAATAAATAAGAAATAATAGATTAAGATATTATATTTAAAACTAAATTCAATCCAAGCTAACTTTTATATAATAATGGCATATAATATTTAATTAAATTGACTACGTAGTGTAGCGTGTTGGTAATTTGAGGTGCACGGGCAGTGCATGGTCATGTGCGCAAAACAAATGGGGAATGTGCTTCTTTTTTTTTTGTTGAACCAGCAATACAAATGGGGGATGTTAATGGTTGACCTAAGATTAATTAATATATTACGATTTTTTTTTTTATATAAACACTAAGGGGGTGTTTGGCAAACCTTGAAAAAAAACTTTTGGAGCTCAAACCAAGATTTGCCTCCAAAGATATCCAAACACCCCTTAATTTTTTGAAACCATGGTTTTGTCATAGGCAAAAAAATTTCACTTTTTGAATGAGTATGGACATTGTCAGCGAAAGCAAGGAGCTATCTTCATGTCTTTACATTTCTCTTTCTTTCTTCTTCCTAATTTTTTTGTTTTTTGACCTTGAAATTTTTTTTTATTTTTTAAAAACATATTTAATCTTATATTTTATAAATATATATACACATATTAATTATTTATTAATTACATTATCTTATATATTATTAATTATATTGGTAAAAATATATTATTAACGTTTTATTCCTTCAAATTAAAATATATTATAAGATCTATTTTTTATATAATTATCATATTAACTTATGCTCTTTTTAGTAATTTGCACATAAAAAAAAACTTCTGATAATAACTATCCAAACACTCACTTCTCAGAATCACTTTTTCACAAGATCTATTCTTCACAAAATATATTCTTCCCAAAATCTATTCTCCAAACTATGACTTGGCTTCATCCAAATCATGGTTTAATTTCATCCAGAAGCTATTCTCCAAAGTCTAATAACTAGCTAGCTTGCCCCACAAATAAGTTAGCTTTTGAGTCATCAAACATTTTTACCGGAAAAATACAAAAGAAAAAGGCCCCAAATTAATTACAAAAATAAGGCAATTAATTACACGAATTAATTTGGGATTTTGTTAAAAAAGATCCCAAAGAATTGTCTAAAAGCGAAAACCCTAATGTGCAGTCCAAAATTGGTCCCGTCGAGATTAATTAGGTGGACCTATTAATTAATTAAAATCCACCACAAATACTCAACGAGCAAACACCTAACTTGACTCTAATTGTAGCTTCCCCCAGTGAAGTGATTAGTAAATTAGCCAGCTTTCGATTTGATTTAAGAAACTATTAAAAGTTGAGTTAACTTGGCCCAAAAACAGAACGGGTTGAGTTAGTTTGGCCTCAAAACAGAAGGTGTTAGTTTCTCACAATGTAGCAATAAATTAATATTCAAATTTCTGTTAAAAAAAGTATTCACATTTAATACTCGATAGTATCTTGAATAGAATTGCACGTATCAACAAAAAAAATGACCCCAAAAATCATGTTTATGGATGAATTGTATTCACATATCATAGAATAGAGATCTTCAATGTTTATTATTAAAATTTATCTAACTTATTTTTATATAAACTGAACATCATAGTATCGTATCAAATTATTTCAACCAAATCTTAAATTTTCAATTACTTGTATTTGTTTTAAATATTACTCCTCTGGTATTTAATATATGACTTAATTATTGAGTTGATTTTGTTCTTAAATATAACAAGACCTGTTTTTTATATTTATTAATTTTTTTTAAATTATCCCATGAATACTCCCTCAACCATAATCAAATAGAAGATGGAGACACGATATTAAGAAAGATGTTATATTTTTTATAATTAACTAACTTACCTAACTTTCTTAATCTAATCAAATTAGTTAAATATGTCTTATATTAAGGATCAAAAGAATATTCCTATCTTAATTACAAGACATCACATACATGTACAATTCGGGGAGCCTAAAAATGATAATTTTTTTATAACAAGTTTTATTTTAAAAATTAAACAAAATATGTAAGCATTTGAAAATATCTTATCAATATTTCAACACCAGCATTTTTTCAACGGCATTAGACTTACAAAAAAAAAAAAACACTTTATAAAATTAAGGAATCAAAATAAATATTATATAAAGCTAAACTGACAAACAATATTTTTGCCACCGATTTGGCGCGATTGGATTTGCCAAAGAACGACAAATGCGGCTCATAAAGATTCATTGACGACATTACTTATAATAACACGCATATTCCTACAAAATCAAACAATTCAAATATTAATAAAAAATGATTAAATATTTTTTTGAAAAAATGAATCAGTTTCACAATTATTTGTGAGATTTTAATAAATGCTGGGTGGTTGGGTTTGAATGAAACAATGACACTGTCATCTCTGGTGACGTCATGACAATGACTAAAGTGAAGCCTTTCACTCACAAGTCATAAAGCCAGTGCCCTCCAATGGAGGGGCGATACACGGCAACCATTGAGGAAGAAGATAGCCCACCAGCGTTTGCCTCAATCAAATTCACATCTTTATTTATTTATTTATTTATTTTTTTACCAGCAATTCACATCTTTATTTTAATGTCTCTCATCTTCCTTTTGCTGTTATTTTTCTGTGATTGATCAATTCCTCAACACAAATTAAAACATTCCATTAATTAGTAGCCGGAATATTAGGTTTTTCCCTTTAAATTAAGAGAGGATTTGAGTAAAAACCTAACCATGATTTTAAAAGTGATTTTTTGATATAATATATAAATATGTGAAATAATTTTTATTTTTACTTGTATGAAAACACTTTTTAAAAGTGTTGAAGTCATTAAGTTCTTATTTTTTCCCCCTGACCACGAGTTATATTTGGGGCCCTTGATGTCTTGAAATGTTGTTGGGCCTTTTGAAGCCCAATATTACTTCCCATACCAAAGCCCATTTGACCCAACAAAGCAAAGATAAATATCCGAGGAAACGACCCTTTTTTAAGGGAGAATTCCTTTTGTCCCCCCCTATTTCCCATCTCTCTTTCTTTTTTTTTAGGGATCCACACTAATTCCATTTGGCCAAAAACCTGTTTATTTCTGTCACCATCTCAAACATCGTTTTGTTGAACAAGTCACAACTTTTTTTTTCCCACTTCCCAGTCAGAGTTTCAAGCTTTTCAGCCTTTTTAATATCATCTCAATCTCAAACATGCTCACCTTATCTCTATTAATTTATTTAGATATTCCCTTTGACGTCATTTATTTATTTCGTAAAAATCGACAAGGCTATCATACATCATCTTTCTTGCCTTTGATTTACTTTGGCCCTGAATATATCATGGTCCTTCCTCCTTATTGAGTTGAGTCTTCTTTTTTTGGGCCTGATATTGAGTTGGGTCTTCTATTTTGCTTGATCACAAGTCAGAAACAATTTAATTAACGCCTTGTCCTGGGGCGTGTAGTTGAATTAAAACGTGGAATCATTTAACGACTTTTCGGCTTCTCGTCGCGGTGCCTCCGGACTCCAGGGAATTGACACGCTTCGAAATTCTGCATCTCCCGCCAAACGTGGAAGATTTGAAGCTGAAAGTACATTCCAGCGAATAATTTTACAGTTTCCTGGTTTTCTTCTTCGGTGCTTGCAGTGAATTTAATACTGTCAGTTTATCAAACGCATTACTGTCCCTCGCACTACTATTCTGATGGTAGCATGCCGTCTTTGATCTTTTCAAGCTCCGGCAAGTGATTATCTGGAATGCTTCTTAGCGCGCCTCTCGGTTCAATCATTTCGTGCTTTAAAAGTTTATTTCTTCTCGTGCTTCCGCCGATTACGTTATTAGATTTAGAGTGACTAATACAGCCAAATTATACCATCTTAACATTGAAATTTTTTTTACAGGCTCTAATGGTGTTACCACACACAGCTCTGTTCTGGTATATGCCGTAGAGTAGTACTATATAATGGAGAACGAGATGCTGCTACGGAATGAATTCTCTGTATTATATTTCTGGTCCTTTGCTGTCCATGTGGTAGTTGGTTAATGCCAAACGTGAATTTACACACAGTTTGCTTCAATTTCCTCTACTTCTAATTTCTTTTCTTCTCCCTCCTCCTCATAGGCATGCCATCTTGGTGTGGAAGTCTTCCCCCAAAGAGAAGAGGAAAGAAAACAAGGAAAGCATTGTTTATACGACGCAGTGCAAGTTAAAAGGCACTTCTGAAAACAAGTGGAACAACGGATTGGGAGGATCTAGGAGACATCTTATCATATTGCCTCGGATAAGGGATCACTATCTCCTGTGTTTTCTGGATCAGCATCTCCCTCAACACGTCTCCCGATGTCAAAGTTTTGTAGATGGCTGAGCATGAGTTCTATATGCCCTTTTGGGGATGAGAGTGAGGAAAACAGTGTGTGTTCCGTGGTTGCACGAATGCTAGAGAAATCTGGCTATTTTTCTCTGGAAATTTGCAGGATTGGATGAACTGGGATTCAAGGCATGAGGCTGGATGTAGCAAAGTACAACGCTGGACATGGAGGAAGCAGTATTGGCGGGCTGAAAAGTGCATGCCTGTTCAAGCTTCTGGAGGATACAGCAAATAAGGACTTCAACAACAGGATGTTCAATCCAGCTCCAAAGGGAGCGCTTAAAATGGATGCCATCACCGGAGTGATGTCTGGGAATTGATGTGGATGCTTCTGTGGACATACAGCAGCACGATGCTTGCGGAGGAACAATACGAGATACTGAAGCTATTTGGGTCATAGGAACAACACCACACGTTGAAATTTCTAATGGCCAGAAACTTGTCATGTTCTACAAAGTTTTCTCACCTAGAAACAGTCGGATATAGTTTTCTCACCCCCGATTACACTATATTACATCACATTACATCCTCCTGATTCTTTTTCTTTACGACTACTTTGGATCTGTCAGGCTCAAACTGAATTCCCAGAGTTTTCTGGCCAATTCTGAATCTGTAGCCAGAGAGCTTGGTTTTGCCTTGTTGCTATCCATAAAGTATTCACCAGATACTCCCTTGACTTGTGGATGCAATGCCACGTAACATTGAGTTGCAGCTCCCTAAAAACACCCCACAGGATTCAATATGAAATATTAAGAATTTAAATGACAGAAAAACCACATCATCGGCAGCAAAAGGCATCAATGTCACCTCCACACACTACCCCTGCTATGCTCATGAATGTTACAACTTACCTGCTGCACATTTTTAAGGAAGAACTTCCCCACTGCGCCAGCAACGGCTGCACAGTCCGAGTAATAGATGCATTATTATAGAACAAAAATCGAGAAGTAAGAATACTTTAATGCACATATTGGCATCAGATTAATAGAATAAAGGATACCATTAAAGTAACCATGATACCGAAGAATATTTGTTACAATCGTCCCTGGATGAAGGGAGTTAACAGTTATTTCCACTTCTTCTTCCTGACAAACAAAAAAACAACAAAATAAAAAATTATACATCCAATTCAACCAGTCAGTCAACAGATGAATGCCAGAGGAATGGAAGACCTCTCCAAATGCAGAGCATGCACAGACACAGGGTCTAAAGATAGTGTTTAACAACATGGGCAGCATGGAAATTATGCTTCTAATTTCTACAAGGAGGAGGGAAAATGTCCTAAAATAATAATGGCATATTATCTTTGCAATCAACTGCAATGTGAAGGTTATCTTAGCTAATAAATCAGTGAAATATAAGAAAAATGACACTTAAAGCTTATGAAATTAACAGCTGAGAGAACCTTAAAAAACAAAATCACCCCCCGAGACTATAGCAGTAAGTTATCACTGATATTTTATAAAGCTATTAATCATGCTTGCTAAAGTTACGATCTGGTCTTCCCAACGTCATCTATAGGAATAGTGAAACATCCAAAAACATACTTATAACATCTAGAAGACTGGTATGTAATTTCAGAAAGCATGAATTTTAACTGTGAGAAGTAACAGTAATAAATTTTTATGATTCTTAGAATATACTTTAGTCTTTAAGGCCATTGACGGTCAATTTTATAAAAGACCCTCAAATATCATTTTCTTAAGTAATATAAACATCAGTAAAACCATGTGAAGCTCAGAAAGATTAAGAAATATTGATATAATTTGACAGCAATTTGTTTAATGAGTTGGTATAGCTATGTCTACTCATGATATTATGTTAAAAACACATGAAATCAAAAATTAATTATGACCATTTACAAGTAGAATCAAAATAATTAATCTGACAGCAATTTATTTAATAAGTTGCTATAGCTATGTCTACCGAAGATATTAAGTTAAAAACACATGAAATAGGAAAAAAAATAATTATGACCATTTACAAGTAGAATACCTTCAAGCGTCTTGAAAGCTCTTTTGCATGCAAAATATTAGCAAGCTTTGATTGTCCATAAGCAAGATAACTGTTGTATCTGTAAATAATCAAACAGACAAAGCGGAAGCATTCCATTTTGAGAATCATACATACATACATACATACATATATATATATATATATATATCAAATGGTAACATCAAGAAAGCACCTCTATAGCATGAGTTTAGTAGCAGATGGAAAGAGGGGGGAAAGCAAAAATTTATTTAGCTAGAGCATACCCTGATTCATCATTGATCTTATCAAAACAAATTCCCTCTTTATATGCAAATCTGTGTGCCTTCGATGATACGATAACTATTCTTCCCTCCCGCTTGCATTCGTGCACAGTTTTCTTCATAGTTTCCAATAAAAGGTTTGTTAAGAGAAAATGACCTGCAAAATAGCATTAATCCTTAAAATTCCTAATTGTACATCATAGGAAGTAAATATAATCGATATGAATCGTTCAAAGATAAGGTGAGGAGAACATATGATATCCTAGTTCATTACCTACATGATTGGTTGCAAACTGCAACTCAATGTTGTCTTCAGAAAGTGTGAAGGGGGCAGCCATGATTCCTGCATTATTACTTCAGCCGAAAAATTCATTTCAACTCTTTCAACATCAACAAAGACGGGAGTTTCTCTCTATGCAATATTCTTAATCATATTCCTTTAGTATCCCAAACAAAGTGAAGTGTTGCAAGAAGAGTGGAAGACTGCATTAGCAAATTTCATAACGAGTTTCCGAAGGCAACGCAGGAAGCAAAAGGGTGGTAAATCAATAAACTATTTCTTACAAACATGGAGCATTCACTAATCAGAAGATATCAATCAATAGAAATTAACCACTTGGATACACATGCATAGATCAAGAGAATATAAAGAGAGCTAGAATTAACAAAAAGAGCTGCAATTTAGAGGCTCAAAACCACTATTGCTAAACGTTCATACATCAGGAGATTAAGAGGCAAACCAGATATTTCTAAACAGCTTACATTAGGATATTAAGACGCAGACTAGAGGAATTGTAATCTGCAGCGAATTTCCTTACTGACGCCATTGAGCTAAGATCTAACTTCATGACATCAATTTTGGCAGAAGGCATTTCCTCGAGCATTTTGTTTTTGACGCTCATACCAGAGTCCACATTCCTTACTGCCATAACCACATGGACGCCACGCAATGCTAGAACTCGGGTCGTTTCAAGACCAAGACCATTGGATGCCCCTGAAACTCAACTAAATGTGAGTACTGAGGGAAGATGGTGGGTACATATTCCATTTTCAGATACCATCCAAGTCATTAAAAGTTGTGTGGTATATTATACAATGTTGAATTGCATTTTGACTAGACAGGCTTAGTAACATATGACAGGAAAAAAAGATTTTCTTTTCAATTTTGTTTTTAGTTAAAAAAGTTTGGTCCTTATTGCCAATCAACCATAACCTCAACATGTTCGATGATCAGAGAGCAGCTCTATATAGTCTAAATATCGAGCTCTTATCATCTCCCTCCCAATCCTGTCCACATATAAAAGTATTCAAGACATTATCCAGCACTGTTAGATTATGACTTCAGAAGTACAGACCCTTCGATGAGAGTATCCGCACCATCAGAAATAAGTTCGGCCCGGAACACTGACCAGAGTCAGAAAAGGGGAAATCCACATCAAACAAATAAAGATTCTCCGGTTTTATTAATTCATGAGCTAATCTTCTTTACTACAAGTGTTTGGTTTGGTCGAGAGGGAAAAAATATCCAGCCATCGCTAATCACTGATCTTCATAGTAAAGCGATCTTATTTGTGTACAGTAGCCAATCACAAGGTGGAATAAGAAAATAGAGAAGAAAACCTGTGACGATGGCAGTGAGACCGTTTCCATCGATTCCTTCAGTAACTTGCTCCGCAGTGGAAGTGGCTGAGAATCCAGATGGTCCCCTGCAACCAAACATCCACATTTTTTTTTTCTTGGTTCGCAAAGAACACGATCACGCCCTCCAAGTGCAGTCCAGGAGCAGAGCAGAGCAGACTCATCGCATCATTTTCGTCACCATTTATATCTCACTATTTTGCCAGGGACAAAAGCGTACTTTGGCCTTATGTGGGTCAGCTTTTTTGCCCAGAAATATTATAAAAATTAGGGTCTCCATGGAATGCCAGTTTATAAACTTTTTTTTTTCTGCCAGTACATCACTTCAGCGTTAACCTCGGGGAGAAGTTAATCGGTGAAATGCCAATTTTCAATTGTTTGTGGTCCACAAACTTTTTGGCCCAGAAACATTATAAAAGCTAAGATCTTCATGGAATGCCAATTTATGAACTTTTTTTTTTCTGCCAGTAAATCACTTCAGCATTAACCTCGGGGAGAAGTTTATCGGTGGAATGCCAATTTCGATTTGTTTGAGGTCCACAATAAACAATATAAATATCCCCTCTTGGGGCGGTTTCTCATTATATCAATTAGCATTCAATTCAACGTTCTTCGAAAACATCAATGTTAGTGTTTAAAACTATCTTCATTTAATTTTTATTTTAATTCTAAATATAAAACTGTTTTTCATATTTTTTTAAATTCTAATTAATATACTTAATTAGGAAGGATATTTAAAAAAAAACCCTTATTTATTACAAATAAATAACTTAACTTCTTTCTTTAATCTCCTCAAATTAATCAACTAGTTCTTATAATAAAGACCGGAACTAGTATTAGGAATCGGTGAAACGTTTTCGTGGTACAGACTGCTGAATTCAGGCATTAAATTTCTTAATCTGGCATTGGTCCAAAGCCGATAGCCATGTTTCCTTCAAGTATTTCCCGTCTGTCATGCTTCACATAGGTGGCTCATCTTTACCAAAATCACTGTTCATTTCACTAGCTATTATTATCAGTTCAGAAGGATGGTTTGCATTGAGGAACTAAAGAGGAATCATGGATAGAAAAAAGCAAAAAATAGACATATTAAAGAATTCTACATTCAAAGTTTGACACACAAAGGAAGAGGTCATCACTCATAATTTACACACACACAGACAGACACAAGAACAAAAATTAAGGATGTCCAAGTAATACGAAAAGAAGCAGAGCAAAGATGATGAGGGTCTCAAGCCCTAGACTTGAAAGGAATGGCTCGGATGACTATCTGGTGATATACAGCAGCAAGGAAAGCTCCAGTGAAAGGTCCAACCCAGAATATCCACTGCACGCAAATATATGGGGACATGGAATTTAGTTTTAGGCAAAAGGAATCAAGCAAACAACTTGGTTAATGATAAAGATTCAGAAAGAGGAGAACATTACATGATCATTCCATGCAGCGTCCCTGTTGTAGATGATAGCAGCACCCAAACTCCTTGCTGGGTTTATACTTGTTCCTGTGATGGGAATGGTTGCCAAGTGCACCAAGAACACAGCAAATCCGATGGGAAGAGGAGCCAAAAGCTACAAATACACCACAGAACACCCAACAACAACATAGGTTAAGTCCTGCTCATAAAACATCACAAGCGTTCCAATACAGCTCATAGTTGCCAGCTTTGGTTTTGAGTTTTACAATTAAGGGTGTGTTTGGGTGACACCCTAAACCATGGTTTGGGGAATAAATCACCCAAACACCCCCTCCAAAAACCAAAACTATGATTTTGGGTCAAAACCATGGTTTTGACTCCAAAACCATGGTTTTGGAAAAAGCAAAATTTTTTTGCTTTTGGAGAAAAAAGAGAGAGTGTGAGGGCCTATATGATATGTATCTTGTTATTTTTTTTATAAACATATTTTTTTATAAATATATTTAATCTTATATTTTATAAATATATATACACATTAATTATTTATTAATTATATTATCTTATGTATTATTAATTATGTTGGTAAAAAACATATTATTAACAATTTTATTCCTTCAAATTAAAATATATCATAAAATATATTTTTTCTGTAATTATCATATTAACTTATGTCTTTTTTTTAATAATTTGTATATATAAAAAGTGTTTCTGATAACAACTATCCAAACACTCTCACTTCTCAAAATCACTTTTTTATAAAATCTATTCTTCACAGAATCTATTTTCCTCAAAATCTATTCTCCAAAATCACTTTTCCAAACCACGGTTTGATTTCATCCAAACACACCCTAAGCAAGCACAGCCAGAAAATCCGTTGGCCAAAACAAAATTTCCAGAAAATCCACTATCTTGTTAAAATATTCCGTTGTAGAAGATAACTGAACAGAGTTAAACCAGTTGAACTAGAGAACTAACAGATTATTTATCAATTATGTAACTTGGTAACTACCCCTAATCTATTCAAATTACGATAAAGGACTTTCTTTTGTAGGTAACTCATTCGTACAAATTATCGAGGACTAACAACCCTAGAGCTTTAGCACTTAAATGCAGCAACACAACTGGAACAGTGAAAATATTGAAGAAAATGAAACAAGTAGATGTACGATAGGCAAGAATACATACAGGGACGTGAGAGTCTCTAGCGTTTCTCTTAGCATCAGTGGCAGAAAACACTGTGTAGACAAGGATGAAGGTGCCAACAATCTCAGCTCCAAGAGCATCGCCCTTAGTGTATCCATGGTTTACCATATTTGCCCCTCCACTAAACATCTCATACCGAGCATTACCCTCAAAACCCTTCACAACACCAGCACCACATATGGCTCCAAGACACTGCATCACCATGTAGAACAGTGCTCTTGTGAGGGACAGCTTCCTTGCCAAGAACAGACCAAAGGTCACTGCTGGGTTGATGTGTCCACCTGTTTTAACCAAACCAAACCAACGTTTACTCAGATCTGAACTTCCAAAACTAGAATTTAACTAACCTAACCCAACAGATTTGAAGCTGGAAGGAAAAAAAGAGGGAAGGTGTTACCTGAGATTCCAGCAGTACAGTAGACAAGAGCGAAAATCATACCACCAAAGGCCCAGGCAATTCCTTGGATGCCAACAGAGGCACACTTTGGTGACCTCTTGACACCCATGACAGTCAAGATGGTGATGTAGAGGAACAAGAAGGTGGCGACGAACTCTGCGATACCGGCTCTGTAGAAAGACCATGACTTGAGCTCACCTGGCTCGAACAAGGGTGCCGGTGGTGGCTCCTTATAGTCCTTGTCGGTCTGAGCAGACGTGCCCAACGGCTGCCTCTCTGAGAATTTGTTTGCTCCGACCCTCACATCTTCCTTCGTGTCCATGGTTGCTCGCTCAAGCTCTCTCCCCAGAATAAGCTTCTTCCTTTCACCCAGCTCTCAAAGCAAGTTTCAGTGGATACAGATGAATAGGATGATTTGAGGCGTTTTATAGTGGAAGTGGTCACTGTGCTTTTTCCTGCCAAATAACAATAATGGACCACAGTCACTTCTGCGGCACGCAGTGCCAGTACAGATGCATGTATTGAGTGATTTTTCGCTCGTTTGAGTATATTCTAATATTTTCTATTTGATTTGAATAATTCTAAAATTATGGAACAGGGGCTTGTATCGGTAATTAATAGTATGCTGAAAAAAAAAAATTTACACTGGCCTATCTGCTTAAAAATTCCTTTTTTTTTTTCGCTGCCGATACTGTAGAAAAGAGTGAACAAACTATAAATACAGCTTCTATTATGATTGTAAAGTCTTTTATATATATAAAATCCTAACAGGACATCATTGGATCCTTTAACAATAGACGCCATGCCATCCTTTTGCATGCACATTAGTAATTAGTAATAGTCTGTAGTTTCACTGCGCATTTATTATGCCTTCCCCGGAGAAAAAGAAAAGAAAAAGACAAACTTTTTATGCTTTAATCAGCTTTAATCAAGGGGCTTAATTTTATGACAGCGGGTAATTAGAGAGCGAAGAAAGTTATAATGGAAGGATTAGGATTTTTCTGGAAAGAGGAGGAAGGGGGGATGTTGGTGGGCTGTAGTTGGGATGTCTGCGTTGTTTTGTTCTTGTATAAGACGCAGGGTGTCATCCTTGTTATTCTCTTCTGTCTTTAAATGATTTTGTCTTCAGATTTAAGTTAATTTTATACCGTTTGATTAGCTGTTAGGAGCCGTTTGGTGGTTGAAGGAACCTCAATAAAGTTACATTTTCTCTTGTACCATCTCAAGCCCGGATTTCATCTAAACATGTCTAGTAAACACGTGGTCTCTAGAACAATTTACTCCTTTCAATACTTGAAAGGGACATACTAGTATCATTTTTTTCACTCCTGAATCTTAACCATTCATGCGTGTATTTAGTGAACAAAAAGTAAATGCCAGCTTGAAGAAGCCCTTCAAAAGATGGCCGTTAGGTGGCGACCGTTGGGAAAGTGACAAGACAGCCCTTGGGGGGGGGCACATGCCCTAGAGTTTTCTGCATTGCTCATGAAACCCTATTTGCCGTTGCACAAGCTTCTGCCTTGCCTTATGCCGCGTTACACACTCTGAAGACGTTGTCCATTACCGCAATGCCCCCCAAATTCAACCATAATCCCCTTATTTTGAATTTCCGTCACTCACTATTCAACCATAATCCCCTCATTTTGAATTTCCGTCACTCACTATGTAGTATGGTTTTACTCAAAAGCACTAAAAGGTCATATAATTATTTTGCTGGGCCAAAGACACCATGGATTCCGTTGTATTTTGAATAAATGAAGTATTTAATTTATTCCCCCAAAGATATAGCGGACCTACTTTCCTTTCATTTATTTTCTAAACGCGAATGACTCGTTTGGCCGGTGATGAACATAACAGCAAGAGATAAGGATTCACAAAAAAGCAATGAAAAAAAAACCGGACCGGACCGGCCGGTTCGACCGGAAAACCGGTGAACCGGTCTGCAGTCCGGTCTGGTTCACCAGCTGAACCGGGGGACATTCGAACCGGTAAAGAACCGGTTGAACCGGTCATAACCGGTACAGAACCGGGTAAACCCGGTTGGGCGGGTTACCCGGTTCCCTTTTTTGTTTTGCTGATATAACCTAAACGACGTCGTTTAGCTTAAAAAAAAAAAACCGGACTTCCTTTCTCGGTTTCTCCTTCCTTTGCCGTCGAGTTCCCCCTTTTTTTTCCCCTGAATCTGGTTCTTTCTTCCTCTCATCAGCTCCCGAGTGTCCCAGGTCGCAGCAGCCAGCAGCTCGCCTCCGGCCTCCCTCCTTAAAACCAAATCACCTCCTCCAAAATCCCTGCTCGCTAGAGTCATTGACGGCACGACGGTCTCCGAGACTTCGACACACCTCCTTGTTCGGCGGAGCTCCAAAATCGCAAAGTCATCGCAAGTCGGATCTCCGGTCTCCCTCAACCTCATCGCAAGTCTGATCTCCGGTCTCCCTCAACCATCTGAGCTCGCAAGTCAGAGTGTCTGAGCTCGCAAGTCTCCCTCAAGCTGAGCTCGCCCTGCTTGGCCTTCACCACTCTCCTAAACTTGAAACGGTAAGAATGAGTTCCAATACTGCCTCCCCCGTTCCTGTTTATGCTCTAAACCCCTAAGCCCCTGAATTTCTGATCCTATTTCCTAATTCGTCTGTCTCTACTCTCTTGCATACGCATCGAACTTTGCCGCTGCTCGTGACCTCGTCTCCTTGCCGCTGCTGTCGTTCTCGGTTCCTCTCAAGTCTCAGGCTCTCAGCTAATATTTTCTGGTATTCTGGCATACGCATCCTATTTCCTTTTCTTGCATTTTCGTTTTGGTTTGTAATTTTGTATCGAATGAATTTTGCTGTTTTACTGTGATTAGTCTTGCGGTAAATGAGATCCTGAATGAGTCTTGCTGATTAGTCTTGCTGATTATAGACTAGTATATATAAATGAGATCCTGAATGAGTCTTGCTGATTAGTCTTGCTGATTATAGACTATATATAAATGAGATCTGAATGAGTCTTGCTGGATTATTGATTTTAGACTATGTATAACCGGCGCTGTGGTTTGATTTTTATTCAGCCAAGTCTTATAAGAGTGAAATGTCATTGCATATGTTGAATTATAAGAGTGAAATGTCATTGCATATGTTGAACTATGTATAACCGGCGCTGTGCAAATGTGTCAAAAACAGAAAAACTAATCACTAATAAGTTGAATTATGTTTTTCTGAATGCATCTATTTCTGAATTAAATTGATTTTATATGGATTTTGTTTTCTTTTCAAGAGGTAGCAGTGATGGATATTTCAAATAATCAAAGTTCTGGAAATGATAATGTCACTCCTAATACTCAATCTTCCACTCCCAACACTGAAACTTCCAATCCTCCTACACCAATTTCTTCATTGCGTGCAAAAACTGATCCTGCATGGGCACATGTTGCTTATAAGAAAGAAGGGACACAAAATGTATACACCTGCCTTTTTTGTGGTAATAGTTATAGAGGTGGTGGGATAAATAGGATGAAGCAACACCTTGCTGGTATCACTGGTCAAATATCTTCTTGTAAAAAAGTTTCGCATGATGTACGTCATAGAATGGCAGAATCTTTGAAAGAGTGTTCAAAGAAAAAAGCCATTGAAAATATAGAAGAGGAAATTGAAGATACTCATGTTGATTCACCAATTATCATGAGTAGTGCAAAAAAGAGAAAATCTATAGGGAGTATGGATAATTATTTTGCTCCTCGCACAACCCCTGATTCTCAACCGGGTATTAAAAGTGCATTGGCAACCAAAGAAGCGAAACACAATGTAAAAATGTTGATTGCTGAGTGGGCTATTGTGAATTGCATTCCATTTAAAGCATTTGATTGCCCGTTATTTCAAAAAGCTGTAGATGGTATTGCTTCAATTGGGCCTGGGTTTAAAGCCCCTAGTGCTTATGATTTCAAAACCAATTTGCTGAGTGATTGGAGAAAAGAATGTCAGTTACTAATAGATAGCCATCGAGCTAAATGGAAAAACAATGGCTGCACACTCATGGCTGATGGATGGACCGATGTGAGGCAACGTACTTTGATAAATTTCTTAGTGTATTCTACACACGGAATGGTGTTTGTGAAGTCTGTTGATGCTTCAGATTTAGTCAAAGATGCCAAAACTCTATTTACTCTATTCTGTGAAGTCATTGAGTGGATTGGTCCTAAGAATATTGTCCATGTAGTAACTGACAATGCAGCTAACTATGTAGCATGTGGCAGGTTGATTAAAGAAAAGTATAAAAATATTTATTGGTCACCTTGTGCTGCTCATTGTCTGAATCTTATATTAAAAGACTTTTCCAGCATGCCAAATGTGTCAGACCTTGCATCAAAGGCATCCAAGGTAACTATCTTTGCATATAATCATATGGTTTTCTTATCATGGTTGAGGAGGAGACCGAGTTGGAAAGAAATAGTGCGTCCTGGTGCCACAAGATTTGCTACGACATTTATTACATTGCACAGCATATATATGCATAAAAATGACTTGCAGGCTCTGGTTGTTGATAAGCATTTTGTGGACCATAGATTATCAAAGACTGAGGCAGGGAAAAATTTTAGTGCAATCATTTTAGATAACCGGTTTTGGAATGACTGTTATCAAGTTGTGAAGATTGTATCTCCTCTCATCAAATTATTGAGAATTGTGGACTCAGATGAGAAGCCTTCATTGCCTTACGTTTATGAGGGGATGAGAAGGGCAAAAATAGCAATTAAGGAGATGTTTAAGAAGAACAAGGAATTGTATAAGCCTTACACAAGAATCATTCAAACTCGATGGGATAGACATCTGAAGACCAATCTTCATGCGGCATCGTATTTGTTGAATCCTGCAATTACATATGGTCCAGATTGTCCTAGCAAGTCAAAGTTAATGATGGCTTTGATTGATGTGGTTGAGTCTTACTCAGATGAAGATATTGATGGCTTCCTAGTGATGAAACAAGCGACTACTTATCGCGAAGGCAAGGAATCTTTTAGCAGGCCTTCATGTCAAAAAGCTGCTCAAAAACTAGACCCCTGTAAGTATTATTATTATTTATTGTATTCATGATTATTCACTAATTCTATATAGTATTGGATACTAAATATATTTTATTATGTAGATGAATGGTGGACATATTATGGTTGTTCAGTTCCAGAATTGCAGCGTGTTGCAATGCGCATTCTTAGTCAAACTTCTGCTTCTTCTGGTTGTGAGAGGAATTGGAGCTTATTTGAAAGAATTCATACGAAAAGAAGAAACAGATTGGGACATAAAAGACTGAATGATTTGGTTTTCACCAATTATAATCTGCGATTGAAGCATAGGTAATCTTGGAAACAATGAATAACTTTAGTTTTTTTTTAATTGATTTATATTTATCTAATATTTTGTTTGTCATTAAAGGAGTACATTGAAGAATAGCAAAAGTTATGATCCAATTGACTATGAAAACATTGATATGGTGGATTTTTGGGTGGCTGAAGAAGATCCCATTCCGGAGTTTGATGATAGAGATGTGGATACATTGGAAAACGTCCTTAACAATGACGGCACTGCCAATTCAACAACTCTTGAGAGTGCTAATGAAGGTTTATATATTTAATTAAGACTCTATTCTTATACCAATATATAGTTATTTGTATAATCTTTAATGTTGGTCACTGTCTTATATAGGTGATGAAGATATGAACATTGCTGACCCTCCACCTTTACAAGATGATGTTGTTGCTCCTGCTTTTCCTTGTCCAGCTGTTGACATCTCAGCCCATGCAAATGATCTTAGTGATGATTTTGATTTTCCCTAGTTAAGATATACATTTCATTAATGTTTGCTTGGTACTATTAAATATTTAAACTACTACTTTTGTAGCTTCTCATCTTTTTTTAGTGATTATTATTTATGAATTTTGTTTTATTTTAATATTATGAATTAATTATATTATTTTAATATGACCGGTCCGACCCCGGTTCAACCTCGGTTCGACCAGTAACCCTTGACCCACTATCTCGACCGGTTTGATGCCCGGTCCGGTTTTTTGTTCCTTGCAAAAAAGCACACACCGCTTTGATCCCCCCCCCCCTGTTGCTGGATAGACACATTCCTGATCTCTTAATTTCAGAATATATCAATTTACTATCTCAGTTTTTTTTTTTTTTTTTTTGCGCTCCTATTTCGCGATCTCGTCACCCACAGAACTCAGCTGAAAAGAAGTTTAGTTTTGGAGTTCTCTGGATTTTTAAAATGCCGTATGGAGATCCTCAACTTCACTCTCACACATTTATTCCGTTGGGAATGAGATGGAGCTATCTCAGCCGTCGGATTAAGTCCACATCCCTATAATTCTACCGAATTCTGAAGTGGGCCCTACTTTAGAAGGCCCCAGACCCTCACCACCGCAAGACCCTAATCTCCCTTTGGAGCAGATAATGTGCCGGACAGCTCACCTGGCGGGACCCACTTAGGAATCCCGGCCTAAACTCACATGCAAGCATGGAGCCTCTAACCCCTCTCTTTTTATTACCGCCCTTACCTGCTTTATGGGTTACTCCTGTCAAAAGCAACAAAACAAGTCACATTCTAAATTCTTTCGCTTTTTCTTTATGGGGCCAACAACTCTATTTCTTTCTAGCGAGAACCAAAATGGGAATAACTGAATAAGAAAAAACAACACATTAATGTTCTTGAAATCAGCATCTCTATCTCTTTACTTGGCTCTTCATTTATTCCAACGGCTCCATTTCAAGCTTTGTTCTTGTTTCTGTCTTGTTTGTTGATGGCTAACAGCTATCCTCTTCGTAGCCATTATGTGTACTTTCAACTTAAAACATTGTTCATTAACAATTAACATTATCTTCATTAATAATATACTAAGACCTATGACGAGTCGAAAGTAGTTTCTCATCCCGAGAGTGTTTAGTTAAGAGTGGCAAATAAACTAACCGCATATTAACAAGACAATTGAGTACTCCTATGTGGCAATGCCTGAACTGAAGATGAATCAGTTCGTGTCTTGTTGGGTTCTTTCTTGCTTTTGTTCTGTTGCAAGAGGCAATAATGCCAAACTAAGCCGATTGTAACTCAGAAACTTCAGAATGCACATTAATTTTTGATCAATTCTGTATGCCTCATTGCCTTCCTCAGTTTTTTGTCTACATGTACCCTCTACAGCAGTGGGGCCTCTAAGTCCCAACAATTTTGCTGATGTAGGCTTACTAGATTCTCTTTATTCTTGTTTCTTCCATTGGCTCATCTCTTTCCCTTTTTCCCTCTTGGTTTAACTCAAAAGCACATTGCAATTCACAACCCCGTAAGGCGCATGGAAGAGGATCAATTTCATTCAAAGGGGGATGATCTCATGGATAGAGCATTGAGATGCTGAGCCGTTGACAGGGGAACTATACACTGAATGTAATAATTAGATGTCAGGTTTACATTATCATTTAGGGTTTAATTCTTCACTGTGCTGGAGCCTGACATGAGGGCAGGGTCTCTCTGGTTCTCCTTTGGTCCACAAATTTCTCAGATCCCCACGTTTATGCCCCAGTGCCAGAATGGTCCCTGCATCAATGAATGAAACTGTCAGCATGACGAAGAGGAAGAAAAGAAAGAAACTGTTTGCATATGACTATAGCTGTTTGAGAAATTCATGGGCAATTTTCAGGTTATTTTCATCACAAAAACCCACCGAGGGTGAATGGAACAATGTAGAGCAGTGCTGGTTGGCCTTGCCCATTCATCAAGTTCAGTGCTAAGTATGTAATCATGAGACCTGTCAAAGTCATTCTTTCATTCAGTTTCAGTAATAAAAAAGATGTACTTTGTGGAAAGGGTTAGCTCGCCCAGTAACAAGACAAGTTGATTGCTAGTTAGCCTCACCAAAGCCATATGCAAATATTGCCCACAAGAAGTATCCATGTCGTAGATTCTTATTTGCCAGCCAATCGTACCTGCATTAATGGCCCATGCTGTTCATCAGAAAACCTTTACTCTTCAACTAGCATAAGGAAGGGGAAATTACCATTACACTTGTCTGCCAATGGCAAAACAACAAAATGTGTAAACAAGCACAAAAACCAAGTGATTTTTCAATTATTATTTGGCCCACTTGGACATTGTCAATTGTTAAAAATGTCCCCAGTTCAATTTTCCAAAAAATTAGTTTAATTTTTACTTGAAAGAAAAAAGTTACCATCTTGCTTTTGTCGAAGTTGGAGTTTGGGGTTCATTCTGACAATTTGAACGGTAAAATGGTTTAAATGACAAAAAGGACAGCTAAGGACTAAGGAGGAGCCAAAACCTGAGTGAGAATGCAACCAGCAGACCTGGTATAAGAATATCTCCAAATCCTATGATGTTGTAACCATGCCAAGGGTCAATAATGCGTGGAAACTTCAGCAGCATTGGGATACCATCTTCTCCACTTTTACCACCTTGGGCTACCTATTGGAAAATCTCCAGATATTAAATTACGTATTACGTGGGTTCTTTGTTAATGCCATGACATAGGTTCTTTATAAGTCTCATGATTTTATGTGAAAAATAAAAGGACTAACCTCAAGCATCACACTTTGATTGAACAGCTTCTTTGAGACAAACACCCAAAACAGGTCGTAGATAAATGCACAACTGAGAAGAACAGTGCCCACCTAATTTATAAAAATTCAAATCAAGTAAGTATTCTATCAATTGTAAAAGGAGCATATCATATTACCTTATAAAAAGCAACGGAATGTACAAATTAGACTTGAGTATTACATGATGACTCCCAGAGAGGGGGAAACTTTATCCATCTTAACATTACTTCATTAAAATAACTTTCTATAGATGATAGCATGAGCTGAAATTACTACCTTGAGATTAGGTATTTGCACAAACTGTAGAACTGTTACCATGAGCGCAATTCCCTGTTTGAATGATTATTGCAAAAAGAAAAGATTATTAAACCATGCTGCTTGCCAAGCAGAGACATGGTAGCTTGCCGTCAACTCAGTATCAAGAATAGAAACTCCAAATATCAAATTCAGTAAATGCATAGATTGTTATATTCAGTAGAGTTGGAAGAAGATTTAATAGTGAAATTGTTAGTAGAAATCAAAGGAAGCTCTCATAAAGATCATTTTCCTCGGAGGTACAGTGCCAATGCTGGTTTAACTTCCTGATTTAGCATGTGATGTTGACCTATAAAAGCCTGCAGGGTGCATATTTCTATGCACAAATGGTACTCTCACAGCTAAAATTTTGAACTTTTCCTGGAAAAATATGGAGAGAGAAAGAGGGAAAACGATTTTCAAGACGGGGGAAATCTGTTCTTACAAGTATGTCTTGACCGATCCAAGCAATGGAGGCTTTGCGATAAATTGCCCAAAGGATAGAGAATGCTATGCAGAATGGGAAAATAGCAAAAGTCAGGTACGAGATAGCTCCAAAGAAAGGAACTTTAATGTATGACTCGCCAGCTCGCTCGAACCACCTAATGGAACACAAAATGTATGATAACATGGTTAGAGTAAGACTCTACAGTGGGATTAGTTCTTGGTCTGATCCATTTTAAGCTTACCAAATGAAGACATAAACTAACTCATGGTAATATCAATAGAAATATGCCAAAACACGAAGTTCATAACTTTCCACAAGTAAGATCCTGATAAAAGGAAGATGAGATATTCGCACCTTGAAAATAAAGCAACCAAGCAAATTTGCAATCCCTGCAGGTACAAGAAACTACGGTTACGGCTAACTTAAAGCAGAACATAAAGTCAAAACCAACAAATATTTGAATAAGATGATGGGAAAGACGTAAGATTTTCATGAAGCGCACTCATGCATTGTGGTATATATTGCCTTCTCTCTCTGTCTGCCTCTACGGATTTAGCATTTAGAAATTTGGACAGAGTTCAGTTAGGACTGCATATACCTCGGTTCCACCAATACAGAAGAGAGCAACCAGAAGCTTAATGAACCACGATGACAATGACATAAGTTTGTACGTTATGAACAGGAAAGTTGAAGCGGCTATAACAAAAAGGACTGCAGCTTTCATATTTATGTTTATAACATCACTAGCACCTCCATCTGTAGCACTTGGCATTTCCTCGACAACATCCTATAGAAACAACATTTGAAAGCGAGTGCTTAGATAAGCAACTATTCCAGTGCACCAAAAGAATAATGATGCTTAAGGAAAGGTGAAGTTATGTTTAAAACAGTTGAGAAAACTGACCTTTAATAGCTTGTCTTGTTCAATATCTGCTTCTCTGGTGTTCCATGCTGACCAATATGATGCACACACTATGGTCCCTATTGACATCAACCATAGAATTACTTCTGCTACGTCAACTGCAGGTTGACGTGGTGAGTATAGTTGCACAAACACTGCAGAAAGGGGGGGAAAAACTTTTAAAATGCTACCCAGAAAATTTAGGTAAAGGACAGGGAGACTCAAATGATAGGTCCAAATGTGGCTATTTCCCAACTTGATTTTTTGAAAGAAAAGCCAAGAACTTCTACTTAAAGAAATTTCTAAATGTTATGACATGTTAGTCTTGTTAGTCAATAGGAACAATTGCAACACGCTGAAAGCATGAACAATTCGTGTTAAAATATCATAAAGACTAGGAGAAGCCTCACCAGGTGAAGAGGTCGTCAGCATTTTCTTCAACCTTTTTCCTGCACTTTTTGGGAGTATGACAACAGGAATGTGTATGTCTAAAAGGGTTTCATCAGCTTCACAGACCATCTTGAAAAGTTCTGCTAGCAAAAATAAACTGGCTATAACAAATGGATAATGGAAGCAAACCTATCATTCCAGCATCTTTATCTTTCTTGATATTGAATATTTAAAGAGCTACTACCTCTAATCCTTAATATAAGAGCTAGTTTGATTTTTAATTTGGTTTTAAATATAAGACATCAATCCTCTTTATCTTTCATATTTATCCATTTTTTCCACGGTAGTCTTTGTAGTAGTTGCACATATTAAATGTTTCATCAAATGACACTTGATTAGCAAAAGTATTTTAGAAAAAACAACACTTATTTATTACAAATAACTAACTTAATTAATTTTCTTATTCTATTTAAATTAGTCAACTAGCTCTTATATTAAGGATCAGAGATAGTATTATATATGTGGTGCTCTGTTGTCAAAGCTTAACAAACAGGTTAATTTTACCTTCCTTAAAATTTATGATGAGGATAGCCGAAGCATTAGCAGCTTGTGCATTAGTTGCCTTTGTTGTGAATCTGCAGTGGCCTCGATGTGCCAAGATCACTTCTCCAGCAAGCTAGAAGAACCCAGATTATGCATGGTTATCTCAAAATCATTGCGAATTTTTGCTATCTCAGTGACCAAAGTACAGTTGATTAATATTATGTATGAGCAAATAACCTTATTGTCTGTACTGCAACACTCTCCAGGGTGTGAAAGAACAAGGCGAGATTTGAGAGCATTTTTCTGTTCTGATTCAATAGTTCTTCCGAATCTGGCATTCATGCCAACAAACCCAGCATCCTCTCTGCCATCCACCCAAGTTTTCACTTTTACCTGAAAAGGGAAAAGAAAAAAGAAAAGAAAAGAAGAGAAAATATTTATGATGATAACGGCCTACATATGATGATAGCCTAGATACAATCTAACATCACAATATCAATCTGATCTAAATTTTTAAACATCTCAAGGATATAACAACGGCAAAGACTGAGTTTTCGTGGGTCCCAAGATATTGAGTTTAGACCCAGAACTTGCAGACGCTCTTATATGACTCATTTCAAATTCCTTTGAAATGCATGTGTGGAGAAGAAGGATGTGAAACCAAACAAGATTCAAAGAAAAATTAGCAAAAGATGGAAAAGGGTATGGAATACCAGAACAAAATTGTTGCTGCAACCAGGCTTCCTGGGAGTGGAATCGCCATTGTCAGCAACGTTCCCAGCTATCATACGAGTGTCATGGAGCAGCAAGAATAGAGTAGAAACTAGAACAATCCAGAAAATCTTCTCCAAAGCCATGTATAATGTATTGTTGAGTACTCTTCTTCACAAGTTACAAATCCATTGCCGGTTCAGAGCACGAGATCAGTAACGGCATCAAGTCCAGAAAAACTTGTTGCCCTTCTATTGCCATTACAAATTTTGTAGTGATATCTATATATATATATTCTTGTGCTCCGGTGGATTCCTTGGTTCCATCGAAGATTGCAGGATATTATAATAAGATGCGAAAAGGGACAAGGAAAGATTACCAGCAAGCCACGGCGGTGAAGATGACGCATGTTGCCACGACACGGCGTCCATATACAACAATACTTCCATGTTTCAGTGTGTATTGTTAAGGTGTTCGTGTTAGACTTTAAAAGGAATATTTGATCCCAATTATTTCTATTATTTATTTACAATGGTCCTAATTTACTTGTTCGGTTCCTTTTCATCCATCGCTTTTTTTTTGGGGGGGGGGGGGGTTTTAATTTTTAAAACAATCTTAGTTATATTGTTGTTTCTAATTATACAATTATTTTTATTAACTTTACAGGTTCAAAGCATCATTTTTTGACCAGCAGGTTCAATGCATCATCAATTACGAAAATAAGCAAAGGGTGTATATTGAACCGAACTTCAAACTTTTATAGTGAAATAACTACTCCCTACAGTCCGTATTTATTTTTCCTTAAGGTTATGTCACATGATAGGAATTTTAATTAATGTAGAATATTAGTCGCGCCATATATTGACTAAAAATTAAAATACCCCATTTAACCGTCTTTTAAATTTATCTAATTCTCTCTCTAAGTTCTGATATAGTTGAGGATATAGTTAAAAAATTTGACCAGATATGGGATAAAAATAATGAAAGATTCAAAACAAAATGAAAAGTTTAAAACAACGATAGATATATTCCTCTGGTTCTTAATATAAAACCTATTTAACTAATTTAATTAAATCAATAAAGTTAGGTAAGTTAGTTAATTATAATAAATATGATATATTTTTCCTAAAATACCATAATCATCTTTTTTAATATCCTTTTTCTCTCACTTACTTGACTATGGTTGAAGGAGTATCCATAGCGGTAATTTAAAAAAAATTAATAAATATGATAAATAAGTCTTATATTTAGGATTAAGTCTTATATTAAGAACCGGAGGAGTATAATAGAGGGAATGACTTTAAAAATTTTAAACTTAGGAGGAATTTAGAATCCCAGAGCACTTTTTAAAAATGTTTTTATCCGAATTGAAACAAATTTCCCTTTATATATTTTTTTTGCATATTATAAAATTATGATTTAATTTTTACCTAAGCACTCTTCTAGTTTTATAAGTTAACATATTTTCGCATAACTTGCGTCGACAAAAAGGCAAAAAGATTATTCGATTCCGTCTTTTTAATTTTTTTTATCATTTTTTTAACTTTTGTAATCCTCCCATTGTTTTAATTTTGGGGTCAATTTAGGCCCAAAGTCTGTTTCCAAAAGCAAAAAATCAGCCCCTTGAAGGCTTCAACCGAAGAAAGAAGCCCAACAATATGAACCCAAAGTCAGAGACGCGCCGAGGTCGTTGTCCAAATTTGCCTAAACCTGCGGCGCACGCCAGTCTTCCTATATTTCAGCTTACATCATTCTGACATTGATTCACCACATATTATTTCATATCCTTAATATAACATCTAAATAACTAATTTAAAAACATAAAAAATAATTAAATTAGTTATTTATAATAAATGTGTTAAGTTCTCTAAATTATCTTAATCATGTATATTGAAACTATCCTTTGGTAAAAACCCTTTACAACAAATAAAAATGCTTTGGATAAAATATCATAAATTTGGGAGGTAAATTAAAATGAATTAATCTCTTATATTTGATAACAAATTTAACCCCAAACTAGCTCTCATATTAAGGAGGGGATGTAGTACTAAATACTACCTTCGATCTTTAATATAAGAGTTAGTTTGACTTTTATTTTGATCCTAAATATAAGACTCTAATCTACTTTGTTTTCATATTTATCTATTTTTTTAAGGTAGTTCTTGTAATTATAGTAAGAATATTTTAGAAAAGACAACACCTGTTTATTACAAATAACTGATTTAATTAATTTTCTTAATCTACTCAAATTAGCCAACTAGTTCTTATACTACCTCTTGTCCTTAATACAAGACCTTGTTTGACTTTTATTTTGATCCTAAATATAAGACCCCAATCCATTTTGTCTCTCATATTTATATATTTTTTTTCTAAGGTAGTCCTTTTAACAATGATAATTCTAACCAATACACTTAATTAGTAAGAATATTTTAGGAAAGACAAAACATATTTATTACAAATAATGAACTTAACTTTTTTTCTTGATTTCTTCAAATTAATCAACTAGCTTTTATAATTAGGACCAGAAATAATATTAAGGAGCGGAGGTAGTACTAAATAAAAGCCTTTATTGCGTTGTTTGATTTGTGGTTCAGAACAATTTTGTAAATACAACAACCCATTTAATAATTTTAACCAGGACTAAAAAGCCACACTTAATACCACTACGACAACGGAAGCTATACTTAAAGCTAACTACGCCTATACATACGCCTATATATAACGTATTGATTTTTATATCCGCAGAGGATATTCGTTGAATGAAGAATAACTTCGGTTAAGAGAGAGAGTGTGTGTGTGTTCCCAATAAAAAAGTGTATATCAGTATATGATAATATGCACCAACCACGTTTGTCTGTGCATGAAAATCAAATAGAGAAGATGAACAAGTTCAAGGTGTGACGTAGTGTGTTTTGAAGGTGTTGGTATATATGGCCCCAAAGCAATCCGCTAGCTAGTTAGCATGCAATTAAGCAATAATAACTGGGGAAAAAACTACGTTCAACAATAATACAATTTAATTTCGTCTTCTATCTCTACTCAAACCCAAAAAAAAAAAATCGTTTTCTGTCATCTTAATTAGGGAAGAGGTTAATGCTTACTTTCTCACCATCATAGTAATGGCAGAGAGCAGAGAGAAACAAGGGATTTGTGTAGGAGAGATGGCCACATTTTAAGAATCACCGAAAGCGACAAGCAACGATGGGAGAAACATGAATATGCTGTTATTTGCATTAAAAGGAACAGACGTGATATAATACCTCCACACGTTAAACACAAATCTTCCACAAAATGATTGCAGGGCCCAGCGGCGCCGATTTGTGTACATCATCATACATACCTGATGGTCTCAGACTAGAAGACAATGGAAGAAGTTTTACATATGAAATATTTCATTGTCATATATGGAATATATATAGTCTGCCTTTTTGGGGTCTTCTAAGCTTCATGCTTCTCTGTAACATGTGCTTCCATTTATATATATATCTTCAACGTCTTTGATCACAGTTTTTTCAAGCCCTCGGCTACGCAATTGTGCTGCGTCCTTGCTTGCTTCTGTGCAGAATGCTGCAGTAGTTCGACCCTTTCGATCGACTCTGCTCTTGTCTCGCTCCTCAAATCATAGCCTAATCGGGGATCATATTTCTTTCTTTTCTTCGCATTTGGATCGGACTGAAGAGTTCTGGGATTATAAAGAAATCATCAAGCATGAACTCTGATAATCGGGTGTGTGATTCGTGAAGGTTAGCGTTGGTTAGCGTCCTAATTGTATGTTGTTGTTGGCGGATAATGAATCGTCTTCTCCAGGATTTAGAACTGATGATTTTGTAGTGACTTGTATTTGTGTGACCCACCTCTGGGGCTCACCCACTCCTTCAGTCGCATCGGAAGTTGAGAAAGTTCACCCATTTTCCCCGGTGTCATCATTTTTCCCCAGGTGGAATTTCCTTTCTTATGATCTTAATACAGAGAAAGATTTAGTTTCAACGTAAAAATTATACCATTTTGTGTTGAGTTTCACAATATAAAATAGCCATTCGGTCTTTTGAATATGATCATTCATTATTTATAAAAATACCCGTTTAACTATTTTCTTAGTTTACCAATTTTTTAGGCATCCATCACTCCCGTTATTAATTTATTTATTTTTGCAGAATATCGTTTTCATTCTTTTGTGATAAAATGTTCTCTCAGTTTCTGGGCTCCAGCTCTTCTATTTGTGCTTGCATGGATGCTTGTCGTACTTTAGACTATATATGAAATTAATTCTTTTGGTTGAAACTGACGAAAGATAGCTGATAATATAGCTGGAAAACTAGCTAGCTTTTCTGTTCGTCATGGCGAGAGGATCATCTTCATCTCCAAAAGTAGCCACTGTGAGCCAAGTGTGCGAGACAGGTTGCAGCTCACGACTATACAGAATCTTGAATTTTCGGGAAGGTCAAGCCACGAAAAATTTGGTCTCTAATTCCAGACGCTCCAATATACATGCCATTGGTAAGAAGTGTTCTTCGATTTTGTTTCTCGAAAAGATTTGAGTTGCCTGTAGGCTACATTAACATGGACTTTATTCAAGAAAGAATGTTAGTTTCATCAACGCACATGCGTTTTTTGCCTCTCGCCAAAATATTCCGATAGTTAAAGAAGCTTTACGATCAATTTTTTAATTACGTCTCTAGCTTATGACCCGTGAATTCTTTTTCCAAGCTGCAGAACATGGAAACCCAGGAAGTAGGCCGGATGTTCTCACCATAGTTGACGAAAAGAACTCTCAAAATCACACTAAAGTAAGTTCGTCAAAGTTGGTCACTTCAAGGTTCATGAATCCGAATCCACGATGCAGTTGCCAGTTAAACTAGCTACAGTGATTATTTTTGCTAATTATTATACTATCTATGTGATCTCTTAATCACGCTGCATGCAGAATAATTAGTCCCTTATTCTTGTTGAAGTTCTGTGAACTGTGAAGAAATATAGGTAAAGAGATAAAAGATTAAAACATATAAAAGATTAAAACATACATGAGATTTGCCCTCGTAGAACTCATTGTCAGAGTTCGATCCTAACGGATTTGGATTTCTTCAATTACTTAACTGTTCAAGTGAAAAAAAGAGATAAAGCTAGAGGTGGGGGCATTTATTAGTGTAGATCCCATTCTATTTCTACTACTTTCCTCATTTGAGCGGTTAAACGATCGAGGTAATTGAAATCCAATCCTAATCATTTTTTTATCTATCTAGTCTCGATGTTTCAGATAAATTTCAATTTAGAGTATTGATTTGAACAGTTTCTCATGGAGATTCGTAAATTGCATCACGCCCACTCTTCTCTTCTTAGCATATTAATAGTTATTTAGGAGGCATTAACGAAAGAATTCTGGCTACAGGTAAGTTTTAAGAGAAAATATTATTTTGGTTGCAAGAGTATAAGCTGTGTGAAGAATGATCAGGTAGCAATAGTTCATAGGGGAAATGAAGCAACAAAAAAGGTTGTAGCTCGGAATTTCATCAACGGGAAATATCTGTGCAAAGATGGAGCAATCTCCCAACCTTATCAATTCTTAGATGCTTTACAGATTTTATACTCAAACAAGGAGCTCTTCCTAAGACTTGCTCAAGAGCAGAACTCTCTATCAGGAAAAGAACAGTACCAGGCAGGGCAAAAAATGTTGACCAGATCTTCCTTTGAATCCAGATGGATGAACTCTCAGAGAAGTCATGCAACTCAGTGTGAAGCTCCATGTAAGTACTTTGGTAGATGTGGTTGCAACGTTAAATAGAAAAGTACTTTTTTGCAGCACCAAAAAAAAAAAAAGAATTTTAGTTTTTGAACCTAGACCAACTAAAGTACACAATTTTACAGATGCTGGTTGTCACTATCCCCTTCATTCTCATGGTACGCATAATTATAATGTGCCATCTGGGGAGCATTCATATTTTCAGTTTTCTCATGCAAAGAGAAAGCTAACTCATGCGCTGGGAGTAAAGAAAAAGGGACACAGGTTGGGTACTGCTAATAAAAGGACGCATAAATTTCCCTATAGTTGCCAAGGAATTGAAGCTGGTGGTGACGAAGCCGAGGGATTGGAGAGTGTTAGGAGGAAATCAGCTAGCGGTGTCCATTCTGCTTTTGCAAAAGTAGGGAAGCTATCACTTGATTCCAAGAAGAGAGAGAAGATGAAGATAAGAGCCTTTATGTTATGTCGAGGAAAGAATGATGCTTCAGTTCATGGGTGTTGTGGTAGGAACATAACACAAGGCTCAGTCAGCCCTTCACTGCAGAATATACACACCACGCATGTTGAAGCTACGAAAAATCTATCTGAGATATTAAATTGCAGAATTGAGGAGCAGCACAATAATGAGCCACCAGGGGACGTTGTGAAGACAGTTAAAGATGAGTTACATTGTTTCAGTAAAAATGTCGAAATGAATCCTCCTGACAATGGTTACGCATATAATGGGATTCCAACAGGTATTGTATAATATTTTACCAATCTTCTCCATGCACTCACAGTAACCAATATTTGTCTCATCTACGTAATCCATTCATTCTTAAGCAGGTTCTGAGAAATTCATAAAATCTGGCCATGAGTTGCATTCGAAAGGAAGTAGACATATGGATGTGCCCTCTGACCAAGATAGCAAAGACATGGACAGTCCTACTCAGAGCTCTGACGTGGATAGTACAAGTGCAGGAAATGGATCTGATATGGTAACAGAACTGTTGATATATTTCTTAATTATCTTCAAATGACACAGAAACCTTCTTTTCCCTATTCCATTTGTAATACCTATTATTTGTTATGATCCCTGATGTGAAATCTTAAAACTTGGGGCTGACTAGGATTCACCTAATGTGGCCGAGGATCCGAGCTCCTCACCAGAAGTTGCTTCATCAAGCTCTTCGTCATGTCAGACTGTAAAGGATGCTATGGATATAACAAACATGATCGATGATCACCTTAATGCTGACTCTGCTACTGGGCAAGTTGTAAGGGAGGAAGTCACCAATCCACCAACTGTGGCCTCCCAACCTGGTATGGTTTCAATTAAATCATGAGATGCAGTTTTTCAATTCATTTACTGGTCTCTCTTTTGTCAAGTAAATTAACACTGCAGGACTTATGTAGTTGAGTTGCCAATTCAGCCAGTGAATGATAATTCTGGAGATCACCACTCTGCTGATCTTCCAAGATGCTCTTCGGACCTAGCGAATAATCTAATTACCTCGATAGAGTCAGATTGCGACAGAGAAATTTTGCAGGCGTTGAGCCTGAAATGGGATGAACTGGTGATGAACTGCGAGTTACCAGACCAACTAATGCATCCATCCCCCTTGGAGGAGCTAAAAGGGTTTATGCACAAACTCTCTGGCAGTGCAATCTTATTTGACTATGTCATGGAAGTCTTCATGGATACATACCAGCAATTATGTAGATTCCCACGTCATATTTCAATTGGGAAACCAAATGTCCAATCATATGTCTTGAAGAGAATGATGGTTGATGAAGTTAAAGAATTCATCGACTTGCATCATCACCAACGCCATCAACCACCAAGAACGCTAGAACAGATTCTCGAAAAGGACTTGGCCAGACGGCGATCATGGCTAAATGTTCAAGTTGATATTGATGATACTGTGACAGAAGTGCAGGAAGATGTTCTCCAAGAACTGATATTGGAAATCATATCGGGGATGGATACCACAGAAGTGTGATACATCGTGACATATGTTAGCCTCTATGTCAGCAACCTCCATCAGTCGTGGGATTATTGTGCCGCTTACTAGGGTCTCAAAATGTTGCCGGGCACTAAATTTATTTAAGCATAAGTTTTCTCATTTGGTTCTGAAGAATGAAACAAGCTGCTGAATTGTAAGTTGAAATCTGCTTTTGTGCTGTTGATGAGGTCTAATTAGATTCTATATAAGGAATCAATATAATCAAACTGTCCGTGTAATTAGATTGAGCTTTCAAGAAACACGGAACCCCAAAACATAGTGTTAATAGAGGGCACATCGATTACTCTTTTTATGAGAACATCCTCCATTCTATTTTAATATTTTCTCTCAATTTTTAATTTGATCCCTATATTTTTTTATTTGAACCTTTAAACTTTGCTCGTTTGATACTTTTTAGCCTCTATATAGTGTTGATGGTATTAATAAAGCAAAATTGAAGTACTTCATCGAGAAATGAAAGCATATTGACACTGAACTAAAAATTAAAAGAAAAAGGGTAGTAATATATTGATAGAAAAAGAATAAAGAGTGAAAATCTTTCAATTTACTTTTCCTAAAATTCACATATTTACTTAATAATTATAAAAATTTAAACTTAGCAAAATCGTGAGCAGCTATGGCAAAAAAAATTATGTGATTTTAAGAAATAAATATAATTACTAAATAATAATAATAAAGTCTATGTTGTTTACTTATTACTACCTCCGATCCTTAATATAAGACCCTATTTGATTTTTATTTTGATCCTAGATATAAGATTCCAATCCACTTTGTCCCTCATATTTATATATTTTTTTTCAAAATAGTCTTTCTAAGTTCTAACAATGGTGGCTCTAACTAATATACTTGATTAGTAAGGATATTTTAGAAAAGACAACACATATTTATTACAAATAACTAATTTAACTTATTTAGTTAATCTTATCAAATTAGTCAACTAGTTCTTATAATTAGGACCGGAGGCAGTATTAAAATTTTTAACAAGTTATATTTTTTAAGGACGTGACTGGGATTTCCTTTTTCATTTTCCCAAGTTGAAGAACAGATTCCATTGCCGGGCAACATATATACCTCCGTTTATTTGAACCTTCTTTTGGCCTGAGTTTATTTGAACGATTTAGCTAAAAATATCTGTTGTGTATTTTAATTAAACCAAAACCAACATAAATTATAGAGTGTATAATATGATTTGCTTGAATCAACTTATTTCTTATACGGGCGGGCAGTGGGAAAGGTGCAACATAGTGAAGGTCCATACCATCCTTTGTAACAAAAAATATATATATAAATTCATTTTATTGTATATATAAATTTACAAATATTAAAAAATTAGTTAATAAATATGTGTTAATTTTTTAAAAAATATCCACTTTAATCATTAGCCTCATTGATAAAGATATCATTTTATATATAATCAACAGGAATAATTTTTAAAAATTATAAATCTAAAAGATAAAATAAGTTGAGATTGTCTATTCAAAATAAAAGCAACTATAGAGAATAAATATGCTATTATGAATGGTCCAAAAATGATATTCTCTTTTTTCATAACATAGAATATATTCTTTGAAGAACTAATTTATCATATTAAAGTACTATTATATTTAATAAAAAATTAATTAATTAATAATAAGTAATTGATAGATAATAATAGATTAATAATTTAATAAATTAGTCAAAAATAATAATAAATTAAATATGTGGTGCATGATGCATGGGCCATGCTTCTTTTTCCTTGCGGCACTCTTTTTTTTTTTTATGCCTAATTTCTCTTCCATTAAAAAGAAAACAAAACAAAAAAACGATTCTGTTTTTTGTTTTTTTAAATATTTTCCTTTTTGTGAATTTGGGTGTGTGCGTAACTGATTCATGCGCCTGCATTGGACTAACAGCGCCTGGTTCCCGCCAAACATAAAACCCTAAGCAATGAGCATATAAGAGAGCACTCAATTGTCACAAGCGGCTCCATAGGAAGGGTGCACCGTTGAAGACCATCGTCACCCGCCGGACTATACATCCTCATGGATCCCAAAGCCGTCAAGTCAAACCTGGTCTTGATTTTAGACTATGGTTCCCAATATACTCACCTCATCACTCGTCGAATCCGAAGCCTCTCTGTTTTCTCTCTCTGTATCTCTGGCACTTCACCTCTCAAATCCGTAATCGACCTCAAGCCTAGTGTCGTTATTTTATCCGGCGGCCCCCATTCCGTCCACACCCCTGACTCCCCAAGTTTTCCTGATGGTTTTATTGAATGGGCTGAGTCGAATGGCGTTTTTGTGCTCGGCATTTGCTATGGACTCCAGTTGCTAGTGCAGAGGCTGGGCGGGGAGGTGAAGGTTGGACTGAAACAAGAGTATGGGAGGATGGAAATTCATGTGGAGAAGCCTTGTGGGCTTTTCGGGTCGAAGAACGTTGGCTCCAAACAGTTCGTCTGGATGAGCCATGGTGATGAGGCTGCAAAGTTGCCTGATGGGTTTGAGGTGGTGGCAAGGAGCGAACAAGGGTCTGTAGCGGCCATACAGAACCCAACAAGGAAGTTTTATGGCCTCCAGTATCACCCCGAGGTTAGTGAGTGTATTGGCGATCCTTTATTTTTGTTATTAGATCGTTTTGTGAGATTTTGCTTTGGCTTCAAGTTACGTAATTTGTCGAAGATGTTTGTTTCACCAATGCTAAATAATATAAATTGCAGCATCTTCATGAATTAAATGTTCTATTTTCTTTTGTTAATTTTTCTAGCGTTTTCTCTGCTGTCATATGTTAAGATTGCTATTGTCTCATTTATAGGTGACACATACGCCCGAAGGAATGGAAACACTGCGGTCCTTTCTCTTTGATGTTTGTAAAATCACGGCAGGCTGGAAGATGGAAAATGTGTTGGATGAAGAAATAAAAGTCATAAAAGATACAGTGGGGCCTCAAGAACATGTCATTTGTGCATTATCAGGGGGCGTGGATTCCACAGTTGCCGCTACTCTTGTCCATAAGGCAATCGGAGACAGGCTTCATTGCGTCTTTGTTGACAATGGACTACTTAGGTGAGAAGATCATTTTATTCCTCAATAAACCAGGTTCTTATTTTGCAGAACATAAATGCTAAATATGTGTATCCATGCTGCTTTCCCACAACGTTTATTCTTCGTTTATACAGGTATAAGGAGAGAGAGCGTGTGATGGAAACTTTTGAAAAGGATCTTCATTTACCAGTTACATGCATTGATGCTTCAGATCAGTTTCTTAATGGTTTGAAAGGTGTAACAGATCCTGAGATGAAGCGAAAAATAATTGGAAAAGAGTTTATCTATATCTTTGATTCTTTTGCACAAGATTTAGAGCTTAAACTAGGAAGCAAACCATCTTACTTGGTGCAAGGAACTCTGTATCCGGATGTGATTGAGTCTTGTCCACCACCTGGAAGCGGAAGAAATCATTCCCATACTATTAAGAGCCATCATAATGTTGGAGGGCTTCCCAAGGACATGAAATTGAAGCTTATTGAACCCCTTAAACTTCTATTTAAGGATGAGGTTTCATTCTTTACCCATTCACTTGTTCTGATTGCCTAAATCCTGAGTGCATACTTTCTCATTTGCATGCATATGTGTAAATGAAGCATTGATTTTGGTGATTTCCTTTCTGTGTTTTAAAGGTTCGCCAATTAGGGAGAATCTTGGATGTTCCTGAGGGATTTTTAAAACGTCATCCATTTCCTGGACCTGGTCTCGCTGTACGAGTCCTAGGTGACGTGACTGAAGGCAATGCCTTAGACATCCTCCGTCAGGTACGTGACGTTTATGCATCTTCATGCATCCACAACTTCGATTCTCCTTTATGATTTGACTCTGAAGGTTTTTCTTCCCTCTAGGTTGATGAGATTTTCATTCAATCAATCAAGGATGCTGGGCTTTATGATTCAATCTGGCAAGCGTTTGCAGTGTTCTTGCCAGTGAGATCTGTTGGAGTTCAAGGTGATCAAAGAACACATTCCCATGTTGTTGCTCTCAGAGCTGTCACAAGTCAAGATGGAATGACAGCAGACTGGTAAGTGCATGGTTGTGCTTGTTAGATATCTTGTTTTCTTTATTACAGCTAGTGGCACACCATTCGTAGAATGTAATTAGTTACGTGGTGTTGAGATGATACAAAATATATTATTATAAATATATATTTTATAAATATTTTATTTAATAAGTTTGAATCACCAGCCATTTGCCAGCATTTGGGTTCTCTCCGCTGCAAATTTTAACAGAGCAAATTAATTTGTACTTTTAATGACCATCAAATCATCATCGAATTCAATCCAACGGTCCAAAGTTGCATAAGTTTCTTCACTTGGTAGAGAGAAGCCACTTCACTAAATGAAACAAATGAAGTTCTGTGAGCTCGTTACAGGGTTTTCCCCATTTATGGCAGGAAATCTTGTTTTGCTGCTGCATTATTATGTGCAAGGAATAGGGTATATAGTTATCAGTACTGTAGAAATCTGTAAAATCATCCAGACGTACTTCTTACCTAACATGCTGGAGAATTTAGGTGCTTGGTACAGTATTTAAGATACTGATGAATTTTAGGAATGGTTTGGAGCGGTGCTTCATGGCCATATTATTCTCTCATCCTATGCTTTTCATCGTACTAATTTATTACCTCCTCTTTTGTCGCATCATCCCCATGTTGAAAAATAGATTTCAGTTTCCAGGGTATTTATGCTGTGACGCATGTTCTGCTGCACTATCAGATTTTTGAAGTATATTCGTTTGTTATCTTTTTACTTCACTTGACAACATTTATATGGGAAAAAAAACTTTTCAGGTACTACTTTGAGCACAAGTTCCTAGATGATGTTGCAAGGAAGATTTGTAACAGTGTACGTGGTGTGAACCGAGTTGTGCAAGACATCACGTCAAAGCCCCCATCTACCATTGAATGGGAATGATACCCATTGCCCCATTGCTCCTTTTTCTCGGCTTAAAGTGGTGATTTCTATTATTGCATACTCCCGAAGGGAACTGGCTCTGTTCTATTTTTCCTGCCCTCCGTTCAGCGCCTGGAAGAAAAGTAATTCAAGCTGAGATGGAAAATTTTGAATTGACTGACTTCATTTTTGATATGTAATAGCATTAATAGAGAGGATAAAAAACTAGTTCCTAATGGTAATTGATATCTTCTCACTTGAATGGATTATCTATATACGTTTGCTTCCCTTTGTAAGAAAACAAATTCTCTATTTCTTGATAGTGATTGGGGCATGTGGTAGTTGTGCCTCTCGGTGGGATTGCAGTAATTGTCATTCGTTTGGCCCACGGTGACACTTGTCAGTGAAATTTTAGTTCAGAAAATAAAATACTTTAGCATACGTAATCTTTTTGCCGACTCTAATGGGGGGGCAAAAAAGTCAACGCGGGATTTCTGCTTTTTCTTTTTTTGTGACCGGCAGCGCAGGATTTCTGCTACACAACGTCAGTTATACTTGCACATTACGGAACTATAGGTTTGAACTTCAGACTATTCAGAGTAGTTTAAACTTCACTTTAGAGGATCCAGATTCGAGCTGAATAAGCATTCAATAGTTAATAATGCCCGTCTTTTACTTTTTTTTTTGGACTCGTTCCAAGTTTCCGATATGATCTGCCATTCTATCATATAATTACTGTAAGAAATTGTATGCAATATTATGGACCATATAATCAAATCTTCCTGGCACCTATCTTTAATCGGTTTGATGTTATCACTAACTTAGAGCTAATAATTAAAGCAATTTTTCACTCAATAAAAAAAATTAAAGGAATTTTTTGTTTTTTGTTTTTTTGGGGGGGGGGAGTGTGCTCAAACTAACCTTCAAACAAATTGTTCCTTTCTTATTCCTTCCAAGTTCCAACACAAAGAGAGATCGGTGCCTAATTATGTGCATTGTTGTGTGTTTTCAACCTGTAATTAAAAAGCAAAAAGGGAATCCTCTCTCAAACTAAGCACTGCACATTTTTTGTTCAGAAAAATATGCAAGCCCTTTCAATCTACGCAGAAGACCAAGTCGTGTCACACCATGGCTGACTCAGTTTTTGATTACTACGTCATACATGTGTTTTAAATGATTCGTCCTTGATAATATATTCCCCTGGTGGCTCTGACTAGAGGTTGGCAAGCTTAACGTTGGTTGAATAAAATGCAACTCCCATTTCTAAATTTCTAGTGGGCTGTCAGTACTAGGCTACCAGCTGTCATCATTGCATGTTTCACACCCCGTAAATAGAAATATTGAACAGAAGGAATCTATGACCAAAAAAAAAAAACCTTCTTCTTGAAGTTGAAGGAATAAAGAAATCAAATTTAATTAGAGGGATTAGTTTCAATAAATATGCTTATAGTCTCTGAGACCAGTGCCTCTTTTCTCCTTGAGCTTTTGTAGATTCCTTGTACACTCCGATATTGAAATGCATATCAGATTCCCAAGAGAGCAAAATTGGATCCTTCCTGGAAAGTATTTGATTAGAGAGAGAATGAGGTAGGTTATATCCAAAATCCACTTTAATGAATTTTATACATCGCCGGTCATTATTGTATGTTCCCAAAAAGGTGTGGCTTTCCCAGGGATAGGTGGAAAAATCCTTCCAAAACAAAGTGGTACTAGTAAGTGAGAACTAAAGAGTTATAGATTTATTAACCAGGAAAAACAATATTTCTGTTCACTCTAGCACAATCTCCAGGGAAATCATCTTGAAGGCGGCATGGTAAATTTCTCACATGCATGAGATAAGCATTCGCCTTCAGTTTTCCCATTTCTTGAAGAGTTAAAGACTTTCGTTGGCCAAAAAAAAAAAAGGGACTTAAAGACGTAATTAATATGCATAATTAGCAATGTGCAATTTCTTACAAACATAAAGTCATTGATCAAAGCTGAGCTAGGCTACAGCAGCTAATATTACATAGAATCTAGTGAACTAAGCTCCACTTCTCATTTCTGATTGCTGGGGGAGAACTCCATATTTCAACATCAAAATATGCCAAGAAAACTAAGCTCCCCTCTTAGAAGATTTTCTGCAAAATCTCGATCAACTTGCGACTTCAACAGTCTAAAATTTACACGGTGTATCAAACCAATATAAAGATTCAACACTTCCAAGCTACCTTGAGGAGTGCTTGTTTGATCTTTTTTGCTGAGGTAAAAGCTGCTCCTGTAATCTGCTCATGAATGGGTACTCAAATTAAGATAAATAATATTAACACTCTTTAGGAAAGACCATGAGGGCATGTGTGGGTGTGTGTGTGTGTTCACGCTCATGAGTCAGGAGGGTAAATATGAAACATATAAAATCAGAAGTTTACCTTGGATTTATGGTTAAATGGAGAATCCCATCAGCTTCTGATGAATGAACTGAATGAAAATCTAAATGAAGATTGCTGACTGCTTCCATTATTTCTAGTAGAACTCCTTCTCTCCGAGGACACTTCAATTCAACCAAAACATCATTGTCGTTCATGCAGATAGTAACATTATTAGAAATATCTTTTAGACGAACTGAATCAATCTCTGTCTCATCAATGTCACAAGCCTTCCTTTTGTTCATCGCTGCTCTTGCCATTATCAGATCTGTTGTTGCAATAATTGTCACAGGTCCTTTCCACCACATCTTGAG